CCTCCCATACATACATGTAAGTAATAAGTCATACCACACCCAAAGTCACCACCTCCCATACATACATGTAAGTAATAAGTCATACCACACCCAAAGTCACCACCTCCCATACATACATGTAAGTAATAAGTCATACCACACCCAAAGTCACCACCTCCCATACATACATGTAAGTAATAAGTCATACCACACCCAAAGTTACCACCTCCCATACGTACATGTAAGTCATACCACACCCAAAGTTACCACCTCCCATACATACATGTAAGTCATACCACACCCAAAGTCACCACCCTCCCATACATACATGTAAGTCATACCACACCCAATGTCACCACCTCCCATACATACATGTTAGACACCACCTGCGAAATCACATCCTTTCCTTGCGAACATATATACATTTGGGATTTTATTGCTCGACACTATTTACAGGTATATTTTAAGGACAAATATTGTATGGCATCAATTTGATAGAGAAATGTGAGTAGTCAGCATACGAGACAAGCATAACTGAACAATATTCAGGGTTGTAACTTTTGCTGGAAGCCATATTTATCTCACCTGGACCTGTGACAAACAATTGAAAAAGTGGCCCAAAAGAGGCCTAGACATTTAAGTGACCCATAATTGGATTTCCCATAATAGGCCTAGACATTTAAGTGACTCGTAAGAGACCTAGATGTTTTAGTGACCCATAAGAGACCTAGATATTTTACTGACCCATAAGAGGCCTAGACAGAAGGTGAACTTAATGCTTCGTGTTATACTTAAACTTAATGTAGCAATTTAATGATATGTGTCCTATCTTGATTTGATAACTTAATATTTTTTTTCAGAACATTACAAAACTGACCCTGTACAAGTTAAATAAGCCGACAGATGAAACTGTGACAACGTGTCGTTGTCTGTTGTTGTGGATTGTCCGGCTGATCCACGCAGATCCTCACCTAATGCTCCACGTATGTACAGGGGGTCACATGTCAACAGGGAAGGTAATTTCTCTTGTTTGTACAGAGGGTCATGTGTAAACAGGGGGAGATAACTCAGGGGTCACATGACAACAGGGGGAGATAATTCAGGGGTTCATATGTCAACAGGGGAGTTGAATCCTTGTCTTTGTACAGAGGGTCATATGTTAACAAGGGGAGATAATTTAGGGGGTAACTTGTCAACAGGGGGAGATAATTCAGGGGGTCACATGTCAACAGTTGGAAATAATTCAGGGGTCACATGACAACAGGGGGAGATAATTCAGGGGGTCATGTGTCAACAGGGGGAGATAATTCAGGGTCACATGTCAACGGGGTGAGCTTATTCAGGGGGTCATATGTCAACAGGGGAGTTTAATTATTGTCTTTGTACAGAGGCTCATATGTTAACAAGGGGAGATAATTCAGGGGTAACTTGTCAACAGGGGGAGATAATTCAAGGGGTCACATGTCAACAGTGGGAGATAATTCAGGGGGTCATATGTCAACCGGGGAGTTAAATCCTTGTCTTTGTACAGAGGGCATATGTTAAGAGGGGAGATAATTCAGGGGGTAACTTGTCAACAGGGGGAGATAATTCAAGGGGTCGCATGTCAACAGGGGGAAATAATTCCTCGTTTGTACAAAGGTTACATGTCAACAGGGGAAATAATTCAGGAGACACAGGTCAACAGGGGGAGATAATTCAGGAGACACAGGTCAACAGGGGGAGATAATTCAGGGGACACATGTCAACAGGGGGAGATAATTCAGGAGTCACAGGTCAACAGGGGGAGATAATTCAGGGGACACAGGTCAACAGGGGGAGATAATTATGGGGGACACATGTCAACAGGGGACTTAATTCACAATATATCTAGGGAGGGGGGGTACGTGTCAACAGGGGAGATAGCTATCTCTGTGTAGAAGTAGACACATGTTGTTGGGGGGGGGGGGTCACATGTCAACAAGGAAGTTAATTTTCCATGCATGTTTGATGGGAAAAGTTAACTTGTCAATGGGAGATAATTTTCAAAGTTTGTATATAAAAGTCACATGCATGTCAATAAGAGAGTTAGTTCTCATTGTAAGTACTTAGGTTGAATGCAATTAACAACGTCATGTACCTAAAATTACAGAGATGAATACATACTTAGACGAAATCATGTTTCATATATGAAAATTATAGACAGAAAAATGTAGGTGATTTAGAAGATTGTGTGGCCCTGGTTTCCTCTTTCTTATCCTCACAAACCAGGGCCGTGTGCTTGTTTTGATACTTTCAACATGATGCGTGTTTTCACCCAGAATCAGGGTAAGCCGGGACACGAGATACAGAGCAGTACACTAGAACTGATGAACGGCCTCGTGTCACTGGTCCATCAGCAATGGATGCCGGATGTGTCCAAGGAGGCCATGGAGGTAAGGATAGTCATACGAAAGAAAAATTTAATTAAAGAATGAAAGTTTTAATATCCCTGCAAACAAAGAATGGAAGTTTTAATAACCCTGCAAACAAAGAATGGAAGTTTTAATAAACCTGCAAAAAAAAGAATGGAAGTCTCAATAACCCTGCAAAACAAAGAATGGTAGTTTTAATATCCCTGCAAACAAAGAATGGAAGTCTCAATATATTACCCTGCAAAGAAAAGAATGGAAGTCTCAATAACCCTGCAAAACAAAGAATGGTAGTTTTAATATCCCTGCAAACAAAGAATGGAAGTCTCAATAACCCTGCAAACAAAGAATGGTAGTCTTAATAACCCTGCAAACAAAGAATGGAAGTCTCAATAACCCTGCAAAACAAAGAATGGAAGTCTCAATATCCCTGCAAACAAAGAATGGTAGTCTTGATAACCCTGCAAACAAAGAATGAAAGTCTCAATAACCCTGTAAAACAAAGAATGGAAATCTCAATAACCCTGCAAACAAAGAATGGTAGTCTCAATAACCCTGAAAAGAAAGAATGGAAATCTCAATAACCCTGCAAAACAAAGAATGGAAATCTCAATAACCCTGCAAACAAAGAATGGTAGTCTCAATAACCCTGTAAAAGAAAGAATGGAAATCTCAATAACCCTGCAAAACAAAGAATGGAAGTCTCAATACCCCTGCAAAACAAAGAATGGTAGTCTCAATAACCCTGCAAACAAAGAATGGAAGTCTCAATACCCCTGCAAAACAAAGAATGAAAGTCTCAATAACCCTGTAAAACAAAGAATGGAAGTCTCAATACCCCTGCAAAACAAAGAATGGCAGTCTTAATAACCCTGCAAAACAAAGAATGGAAATCTCAATAACCCTGCAAAGCAAAGAATGGTAGTCTTAATAACCCTGCAAAACAAAGAATGGAAATCTCAATAACCCTGCAAAACAAAGAATAGTAGTCTTAATAACCCTGCAAACAAAAAATGGAAGTCTCAATAACCCTGCAAAACAAAGAATGGAAGTCTCAATGACCCTGCAAAACAAAGAATGGAAGTCTCAATAACCCTGCAAAACAAAGAATGGAAGTCTTGATAACCCTGCAAAACAAAGAATGGAAGTCTCAATAACCCTGCAAAACAAAGTTTGGAGGGGGAAGGTTTATAGGAATCGCCCTGCAGCTGTTTATCCATCTGTCCATGAACCTTGTCAGTGCTCCTCCTAAAGATTTTTCATAACTTGACACGGTGAAAGTATATATGTAGATGTGCATATGCAAAATGGCACCATTTTTTTTCCCAGAAATTGTCCATCAAATTTTATTGACTTTCCAATTAGGAATTTTATGACAACAAATTGGGAATTATAGCCAAATTTTCCAAGGGGAAAGGGGCCGAATTTGACCCAACATGTAATTGAAAGAATATCCCTGTTTAGAGCCCTCTTTGTATGTTTACAGGCCCTGCTTTGTCTCCACCAGCCTGAGAATATTGAACTCTGGAATCCAGAGTCTCCTATCAACACCTTCTGGGACGTCAGGTACGTACACGTCCTTGTCACGTGATCACTGTAGTATTCAGTATACCTGTATACTATAGAATAAAAACAAATTTTTCAGATCGTCCGCTAGGCCTTTCTGCCTTCTAGGGCTTCTTCAGGCGGAATGAAGGGTTCTTCCGCCTGAAGAAGCCCTAGAAGGCAGAAAGGCCTAGCGGACGATCAGAAAAAAATGTTTTTATTCTATATTTTCCTTCGCAAGGACTTATTTATTTATTATCTCCTGTATACTATATATATATATATATGTGTGCATAGGATAGAGGTCTACAAAATATTGTTTAGGAAATATGACTATGAGGTATCCGACATCTTTAAAATCAGGGGAGATTCATCTACACATGGACAAAACTTTAAAATTTTCAAATTTCATTAAAGAGAACTGATGATTTATGGAACAATCTTCCATTTAATGTTGTAAATTCAATCACAGCTAAAACAATACATATAATATAAATTAGATGAACACTGGCAAAATCAAGCACAGAAATACTGTTTTAAAGAAAAAATCAAACTCAAAACGTCACAACTATTTAAATGTGTTGTTTGTTATTTCATAGCAGACTGTCAAAGGATTGTAAAATTCCAATTTTGTTGTAATAACATGCATCTATGTCTCTGTGTAGAAAATTGTGTAATATGACCTATGGTTACATCAAATTTTAAAATAGAATAAAATATCAGACTTCAAGGTTGTGTTATGATTTCGTAACGGAGACAGTTGATCGAGACCCAAGGTGATAAAATTATTTCACTCATTTAACCCTAAAGACACTTTTGAGCTCTTCCAATTCAAAGCTTGGAATAGTTCATTATGAAATTTCAGGGGTGAATGAGTTAAAAATGACCTGGATTACCTTGAGATGAAATTATCTGATTTTCATTTTATTATCCCCCACAGGGGATATTAACCTCTCCATCTGTCATGTTTTAGTTTCTGAAAACAGTCTAAATCTATAAATTATATGAATTCGCTTGTCAAATAAGGTCTGATTGTGCATATATATTCTGTTGAACGATAAAAAAATGTTGCTTCTGTGCTGAAAACCTCATCATATTTGCACATGTGGAGCAAAGACTTTTTAGTTTCTATTTTCATTTGATTGTAATATTGTATTGGTGTGTTTCAGTTCCCAGGTGCTGTTTTCCATATCCCAAAAGCTAATTCAGCGGCAGCTTATTAACTACACCGAGATCTTGAAGTGGCTGCGAGAAATCCTCGTGTGTCGGAACAGCTTTCTTCAGAAAAATAGTGCTAACGCTAGTGTCGGAAACAACAAAACTATCTGTATACATATCAAGTTAGAGGTAAGAAATCCTCGTCTGTTGGAACAGATTTCTTCAGAAAAATAGTGCTAACACTAGTGTCGGAAACAACAAAACTATCTGTATACATATCAAGCTTGAGGTAAAATATACCGGAGTTATATGTATGGATGGCAATGTATGATAAAAACGTGTTAGCTTCTGATTGGTACCAGATGTATTTATAGTCTTTCAGGTACAATAAAGGTCATGGTCAGAAGGTGTCATTTCAACATTTTCAGTTATGCCAAAAATCCAATATGGCTGACATAATGTATAATGTCAAAATATTGAAACGGACATAACTCTAGAACTAGTGTTCCTACAGCATTCATGGAATTATGTTATTTGTAGAGAATGTTTCGAGGCTAAAACGTCCTCTTTGTGGTGGATTCCTATGTGTTTGTTACATAAACTGTCAGTATCCTACACCATTTTGAATATTTCCTTTGAAATCTAATTCTTAATAAAAAAAAAAGGATCATAATCTGATATGACATCATTAGTGAAATTTGAATACTGTAAAATCATAAATTTTCGTGGGACAGTAAATTTTGTTTATTTTGTGGTTAACAAAAATCCACGAAATTAAATCACCACGAAAACATAAATTTGGTATGATATAGATTGGGGGAAATCAGAAATCAGAAAAATATAATGTCCTTGAAACAGGCTAGTATATGAAAACCACGAAATTTTAACCCCACGCAAATAAATGATCCTACAGTATACCAAGCAATGGGTTCTGCTCTGGTAACACATGACGTTTTCAATACATTTGTTCTCTCTGTGGCTTTAAAACACATTTACAGTTGTGCTTATATCTTTATTTGAACTTAGAATTAGGAAGATTGGCCAAGTGTGGTCTGACGTTTTAGTGGTAATAATATTGTTCTTGTTGGCCACCACAAGGTTAAGACTGGCTAACTATCTTGTTAAATTTTGTTGTCCTTCACAATTTTGAGATAAGACTGGCAAAGGATAGGCTGGCTGGCTGGCTGCCTAGTGTATCAAACATTTTTGTTTTTCTCCCGAAGGTTGTGTTCTTTATGTACCTTTGGAGTATCGACATAGACGCAGTCCTCACGGGGATGTCTTGTTTCCACCTACTGTGTGAAGAGGCTGACATCAGGTGTGGGGCGGACGAAATGGCTGTCACCCAGCTCCTGCCTAACTACAATGTGTATGCTGAGCTGGCCCAGGCCAGTACTGTACTCACTACTGGTAAGTCAAACCCCTACTGTGGCTGGTTCAGGGTAAACTCTCAGTTTTACTGTAGAGATGCAAAAATGTTTCTTGTGCTACTCGAAATATTTTGCATTCTACTCATGCCCATTTTATTAGGATTTTGTTTTCAAACTATGTTGACTGTTTCATTATGAAAGGAATATGTTGACCTGGCACTTATTGAAGCCTTTGATACACCTGGAATGTGCATCCTGTAGGTGTTAGTTGTGTAGTAGGACGAGGAATAGTGATAAAGATAGTGCCGTCGTTGGGGCACGAACCCGCGACCCTCGACTCTCCAGCGCGATGCTCTACCGCTGAGCTAAAGGGAAATTCCCTACAGCTGACGCTTGTAAAGCAACCTTATTAATCAACATCTGTTACACTATTCCCCCCTTTTTTCAAACAATAACCCAGACTCTTTGACTCCCCGCCAAGGGGTCTCCTACCTTGAACGGGGAGGGTCAACTGCACCAATTTGTAGTAGGATGAGAAATAGTGATAAAGATAGTGCCGTCGCTGGGGCTTGAACCCGCGACCCTTGGCAACCTAATTAATCCACATCTTTTACAGTAGTCCATTACAGATGTCTGACTTTATGTAAGTAGAATACAAGATCCTGTGTCTGGTTTTATAGGTAAGGTGGCATTACAGAAGAGGATCATGGCTTTATTGAGGAAGATTGACCAGCACACGTCAGGAAATTCCCAGGTGAGTCCTATGTCCTGATTACAGAGATTCCCAGGTGAGTTCTATGACCTGATTACAGAGACTGTCTCTGCAGCAGTCCGATATTATCTGGATTCTTTTCTATGGTTTCTGTTTCCTCCTACATCAAACCTTCGCGAGCTAGTTACACAAAGTTGAAATATTTTGTATTATAATTTCATAATTGTTGTAAAATAAAGTTCATATAAAACAAAACAAAAAAAATAAAAAATTACAGGGCTTATATGCTTTACTGTCAAAAATGGTACATTTACGAGTCGACAAAGAGGTAATTTCAACTAAAGCAAAAAGTTCAATCAACTCTGTAATATATACTCGCTGTTAAATGATGTCATAACAATAAAGGTCAAATCTTTGAAATCAAAGGGTTCCATTCACGATAAACACATGTTCTCTACACACGTGGAAAATGTCATGACAATATTGAAACTAGGCTCTGCAGGAACCTCTCGGTGGATGATTCAAGTTAAATAGTGTCAGAGCTATAACAACTGGGGGGTGGAGACCCAATGCCCCCTGTAAACTGTGCTCTGAAGACGGGCTCCCTTTGGCCGAAACATGTCGGCACGTATGATGTAAACAAACATAACATTTTGTACGGGATTCAGTGGTGTTGTTGCTCATCGTTTCTATTTTCATTAGTGGCAGATCTGTTACAGAATTCTGGTCATCTTTGAAACAATATAAAAGGAAGGGCACAGCAGAAATGCAGTCAGCCGTGACATTTAATCGTGGACATTTCTGCTATTGAAATGATAATTGTGTATTTAGGATAGCTCCTCTGTAGATTGGTCAATTTTTTATGCCTGAAACCAATTAAATGCCTATTACCCTGGGTATCATGAATCTTTGATTTTGTTATGACATACTCAACGGGTGCAGAGAAGATAAGTGTATCAAAACCAGAACCCTTGAATTTTGAAGGTGTAAAGATGGCAGCAAGGTTTGTTACCTTACTTGACATGTTGCGTCGTACTGATACTTAACTACTTGTCCTTTCAGGCCTGGGATGACACGTTTAGGAACTGGGAGGTCGTGACCCAGTATCTGGAGACCTATCCCAAGGATCCAAAGGTCAAAGTTGAAGAAGGCAGCACGGCAGGGCTGGGAGACACTATCAAAATGAAACGGAAACCCCCTCACCATGCCAACACGGAACACGAACTAGAGGTCAGTCAAGGTTAATGCCGAAAACATTCGAAGTAGAACAAAAATCTGTTAGAGAGGGGCATTGGTTCGTTCCATCAGTAGTGTGGACCAATTTGGATTTCCACCATTTTGGTCCCTAGCAACACTGATGAGTCCTAGAAGGACACACAGCAGTATGGTGCAATGTAAGTCATTTCAAGTCGGTATACTGCATCTGTTACCTAATTATATAGGTGCAATATCACATGTGTGTGTCTGACATTCTTCTTCCTACGCAACACATGGTTCACACAGGCCAATGAAAAGTACTAGAATTGAGGTGAGGTCTGTGGTTAAAAAGTACTTGACAATAGGTGTACCCTAAAGTAATGGAATTGATTCAATGTTCCTTGAAAAGTACTGGAATCGAGGTCAGTTGTTGGGAAAATCTGCGATAGGTGTATCCTAAAGTGCTAGAATTTGTATACTGGAAATAGTTAAGATATGCTGTTTCAAAGTTTCCAGTTAATATATTAACATTAAAACCATTACTTATGATGTTATAGTGTTTACGTTTGATTTTATTGTTGTTATGTTAAATTTTCTCAGTTTGTGTATAAAGTTTGGCAAACAGTGGAACTGTGTACTCTGTAGATTTGCTTGTCAATTAATTAGATTGGGACAAAATTGACAAGAGTTTCTGTGTGCCCTGTACATGTTGGTTATGTATATGTTTGGTGTTTGTAGGACCAGTTAAACGAATGGGCCAACATGACAGGCTTCCTGTGCGCCCTAGGTGGTGTTCGGTTACAGAACAGACTCAGGATAAGGTCAGTAGCCGGAGCTAGTAAAGGTATCGCGGAAACTTCAATTCCCAACAAAATAATGTTGATGATTTGTTGAATTAAAAGAGAGTTCAAAGGTATATCAAATGTGATAAGCATAATTTAATTGCTGAAACATTGTTAAAGAGAATTTAAAACGGGTAAAACTAGAATTTATTTTAATCTGCTAAAACATTGAAGTTTTGAGGTATGACAACAAATTTTTGATGACAATTAATTGTGTGGTGAACTTCTTTTCAGTGCGACCATACCAGCAGGCCTTGACTCGAGAAAGAGCAGTCTAATGCAAAGCTGTGCTGCCGATACCCAGTATTGCCCTGTTACACAGTAAGTTAGCCAGCTCATACACAACATCGCCATCCAGTTGTGTAAATAATGACCAGGGGCCTGTTTCATTTATGCGGAATAACTGGTTTGTGTAACATTTTCGAGTATTAAGCCATCGCTCTGTTCTAAGACTCTTGAGAGTGTACATCCTCAATAGTCTAAGGGTTACGATCACTTTCAATCTCTGCACCTGAAGAATACGTCATGACAGAATTGAAGGGTTCAGTGTGTGCCACCTTGTTGATGAAGAAGAAGACTAGTTCCAACCTTAGATGTACATCAAAAGAATCCTGACTTTGTGCATTAGTAAAATTGACTGGCTTTGAAGTTTGATGTTGCTTCTCTGTAATCTTAAAAGGACAGGTATCAACCTAGTGATTGTTTTTTTTTTTTTTTACCCGACACCAATCAAATAGCTAGCAGGGTGCCTTCAATTTTGCTATGACATATTCCATGGGTACAGAGAGTGTAAGTGAGCGTTACCCCTGGAGTATCGAGGAAGGAAAATGTGTTACCATAACCGTTCTGAGACAAGTTTGTCTATATCTCTCTCAATCTCAGATTTATTTAGCTGAAATTGAGTACGTGGTTGAGCACTGCTAGAATTGTTTAATGCTAGCTGTGAACGTCGAAATGGCAGCACCGGCTGTATGCTCCCTAGGGAATTGAGAAAGATATTGACTGGTTGCAAAGGCCCTATAGCCATGGATAATAATTTGTGAACCGCTTTGAGACGACCTATGAACTAGGTTGTGATAAAGCGGTATATAAGAACCTCAAATTATTATAATTATTGTTAACAAGTGTCTCTATTTCAGATTCATTAGTAACCTACTGAAGCTGCTGATTTGTCAGAACGAGAAGTTTGGTGCTCAGATACAGAAACACGTCAAGGACTTAGTGGGACACGAACTCAACCCAGCCCTCTACCCCATACTGTTTGATCAGATCAAAATATGTGTGGACAAGTTCTTTGATCCCTCCGGTCAGGTAGGTGTAGCCATCGTCATGTGATGGCTATGTAACCAATAAGATTTTGAAGTTATTTATAGATCTGTATCACGATTATGTGAAATGAGTTGGGCTTGGACTAATTAACTGGTATTCTATAGTGTAATATACAGACTTTAATCAAAGTTTAACTTGACCAACCTCTGCATTGGAAGAGTTCAAATGTGTGTTCAGGGGTGAATGAGTTAAAGTTAAGGATCCCTGTACCACTTCCAAAAAATGTAACAAAGTCTTGGAAACGTTTTTTTCTGGCATGACTATAGCTTTGATATTCTTTTCTTAAAAGAAAACTTTATATTGTGGGACTTCTATGAGAAAAAATTAGGACAAAATAAATAAAACACAGTCAGCAGCAGTGTTTTGAATGTAAAAGAAACTGGGTCTAGACCGGGATTCGAACCCTGGACTTCAGATTGACATACTATCGCTCTAACCGACTCGGCTACCTCCTAGTCAACTGTTCATGTGCTACAGTTATATGCAAATGGAAGTTAAAGGGGAAGTAACTGTATATAGGAAAAAGGAAAAACCACAGTGCTGTTGGACAGGGATCCTTAAAAGTTTTTGGTGTTTATGTTGAGCAAGGGGGATAAATATAATAAGTCTTATGAACATTGGGGCCAAATTTATCAGTTGACGTTTTGGAAATGTTAAATATAAACTTCTTGACAACATTTTTACAAGACATACATGACAAGATACAAAATTGTATTACACATGTGCATTCATACAATATCATGTGCAAACAAACATATATACAAATACACACACTGCCATGTATGTAATGTATTTACTTACATACAATGTACACACAATACACACACATGTAATGTATTTACTTACATACAATGTACACACAATACACACACATGTAATGTAAACCACAGTCACGAGGGCACGGTCACACTCGACAACAGTTTTACGGAGTTTTAACTCTTGTTTGTTTATTTCTGTATTCACAGGTGATAGTAACAGACCTAAACACACAGTTTATAGAGAATGTAATATTTATAATGAGGAACATCCTAGAAATGAAGCAGGACCAGCCGTGCGAACATCTTGGAGTGACCAGCATAGAAAATCTCATGTTGGCCGTTGTCAGGTCAGTCAAAACATAATTATATTTCACCCCTATGTAACTTTAGTAGACTCTACCGTGCATTGATCTGGATGAGTCCATTATGGTCTACAGTGATGAAAGTGTTTATGCTTAGTATCAGGTAAACAAATTTGTATTTCTATTATTAAATTCTGTAAAGAAAATTTATTTTTGGAGAATTTTTTGTGCTCTTGACCTTGAGGAAAAATAGTCTGCATTTCTAGGATATCAATTTGATGAAAATAAAGTTGCTTTTATCACGATATTCTGACAAATAATTGCAAAATGCATAGTAAATTGAAAAATCATTTTTATCTCGCCGCCACAAAATAGCAGAAGCAAGACTAAGGTTTTGCTTTTCCGGCAACGGCGGCAGCGTCAACATAAATATTGATTGTTTTCTTTTAAGTTAGTTTCACTGAAAGTATAAGTGCTAGACCAACCAAACTAGTTTCACTGAAAGTATAAGTGTTAGACCAACCAAACTAGTTTCACTGAAAGTATAGGTGCTAGACCAACCAAACTTGGACCATAAATGCATCTTAGGTTGTACATCTCAAACCATGCATTCAATGCTAGATGCAGCCTACCTTTCATGGTCCATAGACTTCATCACAATCAAATTAAGTTTTTGCCTTTAAGATAGTTTCTCTCAAACTATAAGTGCTTGAAAAACCAGACTTGACATGTGCATTGATGGCCAAGCGGGGCACATGCAAGACATGTCAATCCGAATGGCTTGTATTTTTAGCTTTCACCGGAAAAAACCTGATACTAGTACTAAGAATTTGTAGATAAGGTAAAGCAAAGTTTCATATTGTACTTACACTTACTGTTTTAGATATGTACGGCACCTCGATTCCACGGTTCACGCTATCCAGATTAAGATCAAACTCTGTCAGCTAGTGGAGGCCATGATGGTTCGCCGTGACGACCTCACGTTCCGCCAGGAGATGAAATTCCGCAACAAACTGGTTGAGTATCTCACAGACTGGATCATGGGTAATTCCCATCAGGTCAACATCGGCGACATCTGTAGTATGTCCAGGTACCTACCACAACACACAGTGTCACTGACGGGGTCAAATATATCTCTTTCTTGTCTATTTTGTTACTAATAATTTGTGACTTTTCTTTTTGTGCATCCAAGCCTGGGATCAAAAGTCTTGTCGTCTTAACACTGCTTGATATGAAATTTGACCACTTCGCTGTTTTGTTTTGATCTAAGGTATAACAAGACAAATTTTGCACGTGTTTGGGATTCGAGTGGAAAACCCTGTGTATATATAAAGACCACTCCACAGAGAATATGAAATGGTCATAATAGACAGGTGTCTTTATAGACAGGAAGAACAAACTTAAATAAGGAAAGATAGAATACATAGTTTTGTACAATGCAATTATATTATTTTTAGGTTTTAAGGATTTAAGTATTAAAATTGTTAAATATTCTTCATTGTGAACTATGGGAGATACATAAATAAGACATATTCGTCGTTTTCAGGAAATCTTTGTTTGGTCAGGTTTTCGGAATTAAAAAAGTTAAACAAATTATGTTATATATCTAGACAGGATACACAATAACTTCTGTTCGTAATAATTACTTTGTAAATTATTTTGGTTTCCCGGGTAACAAATTCATCGCTTTGTTTGATCTAGCTTTGTATGGACAGGGATCGACTCGACTAGATCACTTCTGTAATTAAACTGGAAAAACATTTAATGTAAAAATAATCAAAAGAAAAAGGAAACATTGAAAAAATAAGAGTTCAAATGTTTTGGATGTCCTCGCTTATTAACTCATTCACCCCTGAAATTTCATAATGACCTATTCCAACCTTTGAATTGGAAGAGATCAAATGTGTCTTCAGGGGTGAATGAGTTAAAGAGAATTATCTGCCTTTCCTTATAGTCTCATGGAACGTAACCAAAGCTATGTTCACATAGTCAATAACCCTTTCACTGCTGTAGGACACAATGGACTTATCCATTTCAATGGCCGGTAGAGTCTAATAAAGTTACATAGGGGTGAAAGGGTTAATGAAGGGGACATCATTTCAATGGCCGGTAGAGTCTAATAAAGTTACATAGGGGTGAAAGGGTTAATGTAGGGGACATCATTCAATGGCTGGTAGAGTCTAATAAAGTTACATAGGGGTGAAAGGGTTAATGTAGGGGACATCATTTCAAAGGGCGGTAGAGTCTAATAAAGTTACATAGGGGTGATAGGGTTAATGTAAGGGACATCATGTCAATGGACGGTAGAGTCTAATAAAGTTACATAGGGGTGAAAGGGTCAATGCAGGGGACAAACCTGTATTGCTTCGACAATAATTAATGTTAGGGAAACAACTGTAGCCTTGTAGACATTTAATGTCGGGGGACACAACTTGCCATGTGAACAATGTCTTAAATGTTAACGTGTTTGTGAACTCTCATAATGTTCCTAAAGTTTGAAAAAAGTACATGTTGGAAAAATATTCATGTTAGTAGTTGATCCTAATATAATAGAAACACCCATTACATGTTATAGAAATATTTGTATTTTCACATCTTGATTTTAAAATTGTTTAGTGTTGTTTTGTTATTTTGTTTGGACTTAATTTTATTTTTCTACTTAAAAATATATCTATAGTATGTGCCTTGGACCCTGTTTTATTGTCATTCAGAAGGACAGTATTTTTCAATACCTGCGTACAAGGCTTTTATTCTTATGAGTTTTCCAGTTTGTCTTAGTTTCTATAACGAAATTTATCATGTGGAGAGAAATTGCCGCTGAACGACAAAACTTTGACTTGGCAAAAGATTCCGTCTTTCAGCACTCCATCGCTTATTAATTGGCAAGATTGAATTTCAGTGCAAAAAGTGAGAAAAATAACAAAGTTATAAACTTATGGAAATTAGCAACGGAAAAGAGAAAGTGCTTACAAAATGTCTAAACATCAATGTGATATCCTTTCACTTAATTCATCAGTTTGCGTTCCCCGCATACTGTTGAACATATCAACCGAAAGATTATCAAATTTTCCGGTACAATGTTAAATGACGATTATTATGCTCCACGGGCCCATACTATAGATAATTTCTGTATCTGTATTTGGTATTCATGTTTTACACGTTATTCTGAGTGGCTTTATTTTCAGCTTTTTTATGATTTCATTGCGTTGTTAGTTGGCGACATATTGTTTTCCGTTGTTTGCTTTGGGGTACTCTGTTATAGCCTTGTAGTCGTTTATTGAGGAGATCAATAGTCGTTTGGTTTGGACAGCATTCTTCAGGCACCTGCGACATTGTTTTTTTCATATTTTGCCAAAAAAAAAAAAAATCTGATATATCTTCATTTGAAGAAGTCAAACTAAGGGAGATAATTTGATGTTCTATGTTCATCACTTTTAAACAAAATCTATTTTGTTGATGGATTTTCAATGGCAAGTTTCCAGAAATTAATCAAAATATAATATTTTTGAACGAAGAAGAGTTACCAGGAAGGAATTAAATACTGAGAGTTAACCGTGAACAGTCAATATAGGAGTTTGAAGGGTTAACATTAAGGAATCAATACAAGGGGTTTATGGTAAGTTACTCAAGGTAAGAGTCAATCAATAGGGACTCAATATAGGAGCTAACATTGAGGAGTCAATTTGAAGGGTTAACATTAAGGGAGTCAATACAACGGGTTTATGGTAAGTTACTCAAAGTAAGAATCAATCAATAGGGACTCAATATAGGGGCTAACATTGAGGAGTCAATTTGAAGGGTTTACATTAAGGGAATCATTACAAGGGGTTTATGGTAAGTTACTCAAGGTAAGAGTCAATCAATAGGGACTCAATATAGGGGCTAACATTGAGGAGTCAATTTGAAGGGTTTACATTAAGGGACTCAATACAAGGGGTTCCTGGTAAGGGACTCAAAATACGTGTCAACAGTGAAGGAGTTGATTTTAAAAAGTTAACATAATAGGAGTCAATATGAAAGGTAAAAATGGAGGGATGCTATATAAAGAACAGGAATACCGGTGTCAATATAAGGGTTATTAGCTAGGGGCGTGATATAAAGATTCATAGGGAAGGACTCAAAATAAGGAGTTAACAGTGAGTCAATTAAAGGGTTAAAAGTATGGGATTCAGTAGAAAGAGTTAACAGTATGGGACTCTATGTATGAGTTAGCGGTGATTGACTCGAAAGAGTTCACAGTATGGGACTCTATGTATGAGTTAGTGGTGATTGACTCGAAATAAAAGAGTTAACAGTGAGTCTATAAATGGGTTTACAATGAGGGACTCCATGTAAGGGATTTTACCTTTTGTTTAAAGGAAACACGAAAAGAGTATATCGGTGCGATCGTCGGGAATACAGCGTTATATACACCCCACTCAGTCCTCCTCGTCGAGTCAGTGCTCCACTAAGGCACTGTCTGTGCCTAGTCCTACTCCACTATTTCTCCAAACCCAGCCCGTCGTGTGAGTATACCCCCGGGCTCTCTGCCCCGGCCCCTCTCGTATACTCTGGGGGTCGTAGGTTGCTTCTCACTCTCATCTAATGTAACTGCTGCACTGTGTCTCTCAGCTTCTTTAATCGATGTTTGAATGTACACTGTCAGCTGAAGCGGAAGATATGTCTTTAGTTTCGAAAAATAATATAGAAAATTTTCTTTCTCAGAAAAACTTTTGTTTGCAGTTTAGTTTTGAAAATAATATCGTACAGTAATACCTAGATTTTTAGCAGGTATGAAATACTTTAAATTGTATACAGATTATAAGCTCGTCTGAAAAAACCAATTTTGTGCTCGTGTTGAACAGTGATTACAGTATTACATTTTGTGTATGTCAAGTAACTAATAGGGATGATGATGTAATAAGCTCATCACCAAATCGATTTTTGGCTGAGGAAGCTGGGAGACGTTGTACTGACTCACTAACGCTCACTCTGTCTGTCACTGTCTACATACTGCTGAAGGTCACTCAACATCCTGTTACCTGAAGTCAATTAACATTTCATAAGTCAAGGTCACTAAAGGTTTTGTCACTACAGGTCACTCAATTTATTGGTACTCATGTCACTCATTTCAAAATACAAGGTCACATAGCATCTTGTAATTAAAGGTAATTCAATATCGAAAAACTGAAGGTCACTGAACAAGGTCATTCTATATATCTCGTAACTGAAGGTCACTTAAAATATCATCTAGGTCACATGATATCGTGTACATCAAGGTGACTCAACATCTCGTAATTCAAGGTCACTTAAATATAACATATCATCTACGTCACATGTTATTTTGTATTTCAAGGTTACACAACATCTTGTAATTCAAGGTCATTCAATATCTTGTACCTGAAAGTGACTTAACATATCATCTTGGTCACACAACATCTTGTAATTCAAGGTCACTTAAATATAACATATCAACTAGGTCACATGTTATCTTGTATTTAAAGGTCACTTAAATATAACAGATCATCTAGGTCACATGTTATCTTGTATTTCAAGGTCACTTTAATATAACATATCATCTAAGTAACATGTTATCTTGTATTTCAAGGTCACTTAAATATAACATATCAACTAGGTCACATGTTATCTTGTATTTCAAGGTTACACAGCATCTTTTTATTCAAGGTCATTTGATATATTGTACCTTAAGTCACTTAACATATCATCTTGGTCACACAATATCTTGTAATTCAAGGTAACTCAACATCTTGTAACTGGAGGTCACTTAAATATAACATATCATCTAGGTCACACAGCATCTTGTAATTCAAGGTCACTCAACATCTTGTAACTGAAGGTCAACTTAAATATAACATATCATCAAGGTCACTCAACATCTTGTAACTGAAGGTCACTTATAATTAACATACCATCTAGGTCACACAATATCTTTTATTTCAAGTTTTCAAAACAATGTATGATAACATAAAGTAATGCAACAACTTATAATTCAAGTTATTGTTATGATTAAAGTCACTTAGATTTGTTGAGTTAGTGTTAATCATTATCCAAAGTCAATCACGATCTTGTATTCTATGGTCATTCACCTTGTAATTCTCTCAACATTTAACTATGAGTCACTAAATTACTCCTAATTAACTCAATGTTGCTCAGTGTCTCCATGCTCAAAGCCAGTCAATAGCTCTTTACTCAAGGTCAGACTCAAGGTCAGTCAATTAACAACCCCATACCAAATATTTGGTTTTCCTTGAAATTTAATAGCACAAAGAAAAAAAGAGAAAAAAGGAGTAGTGGAAACAACAAAAAGTTCACCAGCATTTCAAGGAGATACATATATAGTAGACAATGAAGACATTGTAAAATAATTTTGAGAAACTTCAATATGAATACCTTTTCTTCTTAAGTGACTCAAATCTACAGGACCATAGTGACTGATAACATTTTATTAAGAAGTGTCAACCCTTATCATTCTCATGTTATTAACTTATTCACCCCTGAAGACACATTTGAACTCCTCCAATTCAAAGGTTGGAATAGTTCATTATGAAATTTCTGGGGTGAATGAGTTAATACTGTAGGAAATGTAGTCATGCTTCAGCTAACCAATCACTAACAAGGTAACAAGTAGAATAACCAATCAATAGCAAGGTAACATACATGTAGAACGACCAATCACTAGTAAGGTAACAACTGAGATAGCCAATCACTAACAAGGTAACATGTAGAATAGCTGATTACTAACAAGATTAAGTAGGATAACCAATCACTAACAAGCTAACATACGAGATAGCCAATCAGTAACTAGGTAACATGTGGTATCTGTGTGAACAGCAAGTAGATCGTGGCTTATCTGATACGTATATATACAGTATTGCTCATATTTATGTAATGGTAGAGACTGCAGAGTTCAAATCATTTTGCCTGTGTACAAATTTTGCCATACCATAGAATTTGGTCATTTCAATTATTCCAAAGGATGAGTAATGTATTTTACACTAGTTTAACTCAACATGCATGCCATAGGCTTTTCATAGAGATCATAAACAGAGACAGTTATTTCGCAAATTTCAATAGGCTAAAACTTGTTTTTATCTATTGAAACTCATACTGGGTTAATGCTTTACTAGAACAAAGACTTTATAAAATTCATTTGCTAATTTATTTCCAAATTTAATCCTAGATGTAGGTATTTCAAGCTTAACAGTACGTAAGAAGAACTTTGAATTGGAAGCTTTTTCAAGTTAACCATACTTGACAAACCTTAGGCGAAGGAGTTGGTATGACCCAGTTTTGATTTTTCATTTCTTAGGTCAAAGATTGTTTTTATATGCCTATCTATAGACAGGATATATTATGTTAATGCGTGAGCAGGCAGGAGGATGCACACATTGTCTGCTCAATGTCTTGAGCAATTTTCAATCGATGAACTTTAAACTTTATTGGAAGTTTAATTACCATCAAAGCCTGGACAGGTTTGATAAATGCAATGATCGGACCGTAATTTGCAGAGTTATGGCCCTTTATTCAATTGCCGAAAAAAGTGTCTGCTTGATATCTCGAGTAGTTTTCTTCAGATTAACTTCAAACTTCATAGGAAGGTTAATTACCATAAAAGCTTAGACAAGTGTGATAACCACCCTTATCTGACCATAATTGATGGAGTTATGGCCCTTTTATTTAATTTGCATTCCTTCAACTTAAGCTATTAAAGAACACCATGTTTTCTTTTCACCACATCACAGGAGTAGTTCTCGACTTTCATATATAATACAGAACAAATGTAATTCTTTACATTTTCATATTTTCATGCAAAAAAGGACTTGAAGTATATTGGTTTGGCATAGGACGGGCATATATTGTTATTACATTTTGAATCGTCACGATCAATTAAGATTCATATTGCATCATATATGATAACTTTCCTCAGGTACTTTGTCCGTTTCTATCTGTTTTAGTTATTCTAACCATACTTGATCATTTTTCAAAGCCACATCAACCATTTCCTCCTTGTAAACCGTTTTCTAACACATTTGATCATTTTTTTTCTGAGCTGCGTCATCCATTTAGTTAGTTAGTTGGTAATAGCTTCTCTAACAAATAAACAAACGATCAGTTGTCCTTCACCTCTCTCCGTCTTTGTTTCCTGGTCCGATCCACGATTCTGTCCGACTTTCGACCCACCTCTGTCCCTTTTGGGTGCTCCACAAGAGGATGGGGACAAGTGTGGCCCCAATTACCTTGGGAGCCCAATGCTGAATGCTCTGATTTCTTTATATATCACACAATTCTGCACCAGCTAGTATGAGGCCAAGTTACACAAAGCAAGGTCTCCATTGAAATATATAAATGTCACGAGCATTAACATTTTTTTTTAAATTTTCTATCAAGCAAAAGCATTTTTTTAAATTATACGTGAAACCTGCATCTACTGAATTTTTTCATTAACATTCAGATAATTAAATAGAATGATGTAACATTTTGAGCCTGGTTACAGCTGTCCCCGAGAATAAACCTGGTGATCAAACATTATTTGCTTATTAAAAGTATTTAAGTACCTACTGACACACAATCCAGTTAAATAAATTTTCCTAATTAAATAAACTTGATAGCAAATTAAAGTAATTTGATAATGCAGAAATACAAAAAAATATTATTACTGCAAATGAAAATGCACCTACAGGAGGGCAGGGCAACCTTCAAAACAAAACTTGAAGATTTTTTTTACTAAAATAAAGAAAAAAACATAAATTTTTGACTTCACGGATAAAAATGGAATGTTCTGATCAGGAAATGACCTTGCTTTGAACAACTATGGCTTGCTGCATGGCAGTAGAAATGACTGTGTTGCTTCATTTATTTAGTTCAGCCTCGGCCTAACTGTGTAAGCACCTGACTTTGCATGTATTATGTGTGTATTGAGTTTCTGCAGACTTACAAAAAACAACTACCACAACTGTTGTATATATATTATATAGCATGCTTAGATATGTTTTAGTCATTTCTCCTGTTTTAGAATGCATGCTGTGGTAACAACAATGTTTAAATAATTTGATTTTGAATGTAGCAAACTTGTTCTCTTTACAAAAATCAGAGTCGTTGGTTTGTTTTGATTCAAGTCGATTTGGTAGATAATACTGTATACCCAGAAATGTTCACTGCAGTTTAATTTTTGCTGCTTTCGCACTCCCCATTGAGGGCAAATTTATCCAAAGGCAAATATTAGTACACAGTGAATTGTATATAGTCATTATATGTCTGGAGCGTCCAGGTGAAAACAGATTTTACCAGGGAAGATGAATATTTGATAGGGTAAAGGTTTCCAGCTGGTATACAGTATTATATTAATGTTAAGTTATATAAAGTGACTTCTAGCTGTTCGTAACATTAAGCTGTAAAACATTTGTAAGTAATAACCAGGATTTATTTCTGATATCAAATCTCTTGTCGCCCAAAATTGTGGCTTGGCGATCAAGATTCCAATATCCAAACATTTAGGTTATGGCAAGAATGATAATAAACCCAATATATTTTGGAAGATGGTACATGTACCTGTTGTTCTTGCACACCTGTATTCTCGTTAGTGATTCCCACCTGTGCTCTATACAGAGATCTTGACCAGGCCAGTATGGAAGCTGTAGCGGCCTTGCTGGCTGGACTGCCTCTCCAGCCGGAGGAGAGTGACCGTGGTGATCTAATGGAGGCTAAATCTCAACTCTTTCTCAAGTACGTATCCAGACTCTCAGATTTATGTTGAAAGGGAGATAACCTCTGACAGATTTATGCTTTAAGGGAGATAACTCCTGCCCAATTGGTGGGAATGCTGTTTGTGGCTCATTACTTGAATAGAGTGACTGCTAGGTTTTCTGGCTTAGCGAAGTGTTTCTCCAGCTTGCAAATTGATCATCAGACATTCTGCAAGGCACTTGTCTTCAGGAACATACATTTTCACTGTTGCTTTTCAGAGTATTTCGTAACATTTGTATTACAAGAACAAGGATAGATATTCTTGAAGTAAAAGAATGAGGGAAGAAACATTTGAGATATTTGAATTAGTTATTCTGTCTTTGTTTTGTTCATTCTCAGTAATACAAGTGAATTACAAAGAAATTATGAAGTTTTAATTTCTAGAAATACTGGATTTCAAAAAAAATCAAAAATCAATTTTGAAATTTAAGTGTGAACATCTGGGGTATTTCTGTGAACTTAGAGCATAAGTCTTTTCAGTCGGTTAAGTGGAATTTTCTCTTTGATTTGAGAATGCATGATGTTGATCAGTGTTGTGTTAACATTCTTTGATTTGTATGATAGGTAAAATCTCACGAAATATAGAAGTTTCAAATTATAATTCCAATAAATAATCTTTTTCGCAATTTTCAAATATTATTTAATTATACCATCCCTAGCACATGAAAAAAACTCACGAAATATAGAAGTTTCAAATTATGATACCAATAAATAATCATTTTCTGCAATTTGCATATATTACTTAATTGTATCATTTCTATGACACGAAAAAACTCACGAAATACAGAAGTTTCAAATTATGATACCAATAAATAATCTTTTTCTGCAATTTTCAAATAATATATAATTGTACCATGCCTATGACACGTATATCATGTATGTTTTGATTGGATAACTTGTGGGTCCAATATTCCATCAAAAGACTTTGTGGTCTTTAGGGATCACTTTGAGGTGTTGTGTTCCAGATACCTGACCTTGTTCATGAATCTGCTGAACGATTGTTCAGAAGAGGAACAAGACACGGCCATGGACCCCAACAGGAAGCGTAGTACGTCCAATCTCAGTGCGCTCAGGAACTGCACTGTACAGGCCATGTCGAACCTACTCAACGCCAACATTGACAGTGGCTTAATGCATTCCATAGGTAATCGTTGCTTTATATAAACTTCATATAACAAGTTATTTCAACTTATTTATTTTTTGAAGTGGGTGGGAACAGGAATGCCCAGAGAAAACGCATTTGGTGGGGCAGTTAAGATCAAGGTAAATCAATGTAAATCTATATGGTAATTTCTGTCATATGACAGTAATGCATGCAAATGTTTGCAGGACGGACTATGTTACTTCAGGACTAACAGAAGATCAGCCATTGTAATTTCAATGTAGGAAATATCGTGAATGTCTTATAAGTTATTGTCCATTATGAACTATAATGTTGACACTTTGGTGTTATCTGTGGAGCTGACAGACTTTGTCTGTGTTTACTATAAATGTTGACATTCTGGGTGATATGTGTTGACAGCCTTAGTCTGTGTTTACTATAACTGTTGACTTTCTGGGTGATATCTGTTAACAGACTTGGTCTAGATATGTGTTTACTATAAATGTTGACATTCTGGGTGATATCTGTTGACAGCATTGGTCTGTGTTTACTATAACTGTTGACTTTCTGGGTGATATCTGTTAACAGACTTGGTCTAGATATGTGTTTACTATAAATGTTGACATTCTGGATGATATGTGTTGACAGCCTTGGTCTGTGTTAGCTATAAATGTTGACATCCTGGGTGATATGTGTTGACAGCCTTCGTCTGTATTAGCTATAAATGTTAACATTCTGGGTGATATGTGTTGACAGCCTTTGTCTGTGTTAGCTATAAATGTTGACATTCTGGGTGATATGTATTGACAGACTTGGTCTGTGTTAGCTATAAATGTTGACATTCTGGGTGATATGTGTTGACAGCCTTCGTCTGTGTTAGCTATAAATGTTGACATGCTGGGTGATATGTATTGACATCCTTGGTCTGTGTTAGCTATAAATGTTGACATTCTGGGTGATATGTGTTGACAGACTTGGTCTGTGTTTACTATAAATGTTGACATTCTGGGTGATATCTGTTGACAGCCCTGGGCTACCACAAGGACCCTCAGACCAGAGCAGCCTTCATGGAGGTGCTCACAAAGATCCTCCAACAAGGCACAGAGTTTGAGACTCTGGCTGAGACTGCCCTTGCTGACCGATTTGAACGTCTAGTAGAGCTGGTCACCATGATCGGAGACAAAGGAGAACTGCCTATCGCCATGGCACTGGCCACAGTGGTACCCACACAACAAATGGTAAGTAGGTCAAAGGTCAGGCATTGTCCACAGTATTACCCAGACAATAAATGGTAAGTAGGTCAAAGGTCAGGCAAAAGTAGGTCAAAGGTCAGGCAATAGTAGGTTAAAGGTCGGGCATTGTCTACAGTGGTACCCACACAACAAATGGTAAGTAATAGCAGGTCAAAGGTCAGGCAATAGTAGGTCAAAGGTCAGGCATTGTCTACAGTAGTACCCACGCAACAAATGGTAAGTAGGTCAAAGGTCAGGCAATAGTAGCTATAGGTTAAAGGTCAGGCTTTGTCTACAGTAGTACCCATACAACAAATGGTAAGTAATAGCAGGTCAAAGGTCAGGCAATAGTAGGTCAAAGGTCAGGTATTGTCCACAGTGGTACCAACACAACAAATAGTAATTGTAGGTCGAAGGTCGGGCAATAGTAGGTCAGGGGTCAGGGAACACTATTCACTCAATAAAAATCTGACGAAGGTTAAACGACCGGGAGGCATCATTCATGCAACAGTTACAAAGTCTGGTCATGAGTAGGTCAAAGTTTGAGGGGTCAAGGGTCACTATTCAGTCAGAAGATGTTAAACGTTATGTAGTACATCAAATGTTTCTGAGGTCACAGGACACATTATATTGAAAGATGCATCGTTGTTTGGATTCTACTTACAATTGATTGTCTCTAACGTTCAGTTAGCAGATTAATCCTAACATAGCATTAGAAATGTTAATCAATACTTGGTGGGAGCTGCTTTTACCAGAACAATAAATTGAAATAACCAGAACTTTCTCTAGTCCAAAAGTATGATCGGTTGGTAAGTTGTTACTGAGAGCAGTAATGATGTGATGATATATAATCTTACGTTACCAAATATACAACTGTCACTCTATGTCCGAGCTGTTCGGCTGAGCACTTCGTCAGGGACTGAATGGTGCTCACCCTTATAGTCACACCCATGTTGAAGGGCTAAGCCCTAAGTAGAGTGACTGTTGCTATATACACATATGTTGTTATGTTCCCTGTAGGAACATTGTCAAATTTGAACAGTTTAGATATGTGATGTGTGAACCAGTTCTCCAAAAAACACTAGCTACCCAACTTTCTCTTATGTGGAGGAGAAGAACTATGTTTCTCCCATATTAAATTATGTATTATAATTAGATGTGCAGGTATGGGGGGGGGGATATATAATTTGTCGGTAGGGATAGGCCCAACCACTCTTGTATATCTCTTAACCTGTTATTATACATGGTATTATATATATATGGAAATTATAGTCTTGCTACAAATAAAATTTTATCAAGCACAATTGTTTTTACAAAAACTGGTTAATAACATTACATGTCTGAAGATAGTAAATAGTGTGATTGTTCTTATAACGTGTCTAATGAGTCATTTTGGCCAGACACATTTTATATTCAAAGGTATATATGTATTGTGATTTTATGAATACTATGTGTTTGACTCGAAAATAAAATATTTGAACTTGAACTTTGAACTTGTAAAAGACATTTATTTACATTACCAAAACAATAAATTTAAATAATATGCTCAAAACTCACACTGGTTCAAGAGTGTGATAGTTTTGTAAGTTGTAACTGATAGAAATGATGATGTGATGTTAATTTGATAAGGAAGGATAGGTGATGATTGTATTTCTGGGTTTCAGGATGAGTTAGCTCGCGTTTTTGTGAACCTGTTTGATGCCAAGCACCTGTTGTATCAACTACTGTGGAACATGTTTTCTAAGGAGGTATGTAAATACACCTGTCTGCATGTGCTTGATCCATTTCACTGCATGTCACGGTTCTCTGTTCGGCACATTCTCAATTTCATACACCTACGACTTGTTTTGTTTTACGTAGCTCACCTGGCCCATTTCCTAGACGTCATCAACTTCTTCCAAAGAAAAAGGCTTTTCAGTCTTCTATGAACGTTACTGGATATATACATTTACACATCGATTTTTTTTAAGAATATTTTACGATAAAGTTATTTATTTTTCAAGCCCTCAAGAGTTACGAATGGGAGGAAGATAAGTCTGACTTGAACTTGATTTTATCACTGTATAACAGTTTCTGTATTGTAATTTGTTTGTAGTCATATTTACTTTATAGCAAAAATACTGTATTATTTTCATAAAAAAACACCATCAGACACTTTTTCATCCAGACTCAATTTTTGAAGAAAATAGACGTATTCTTAGTTTCAAAAACATATTTAAGAAGAAGTGTTAGTTATAATATACTTCTGTCACTGATTTAGCAGGAAAAACAGATTTAGCTAGAAATTGTAACAAATTAAAACCGTAGCAAGATATTTCTGGAAAAGTGATGTTATTTCATGGAACTTAAATTATTGGTATACATAACGATCATGACTATACGCTATGTCATAGTGGTAGACTACTTGTTTACAATGCGACTCTTTCAGTATGCTTATCAAAACTGGTACTTAGAAATAATATTGGCTGGATTAACATATGTTATCTTGATTTTCTTTTAATGTAATAACATGTTATCTTCATTTTCATTGGCTGATTTTCATTGGCTGAATTAAGTTTTAACATGTTATCTTCATTTTCATTGGCTGAATTAGGTTTTAACATGTTATCTTCATTTTCATTGGCTGAATTAGGTTTTAACATGTTACTTTCATTTTCATTAGCTGCATTCATTTTTAGCATATTATCTTCATTTTCATTGTCATCAAGTGAAACAGTTCAAATGCAAGTGCAAGAAAAAAACAATTGGAACAGTCTTTTTACATCAACAAAATCAGATGACATTCACCATATTGTGTTATTTTATTTGCATGGTAGATGTTTTTAATCATTTTCAAACAAGAACCAGGGGAGACCTCTCATGGGACGTTTAATTTCACCTATTCTTTCTTTGTCAGACTTTTTTAAATTTACAAAACAAGGTGAAAAAACAGCAAAATATCAAGTATGAAAAATATGTAAATAAGAGATGTAATTAAGTTTATATTGTTTTGCAATTATTACAGAAATTGTATGTAGGACTATAAAAGTTTCTAAATGTTTAAAAAAAATAGTGCTTAAGTAATTCCTCGCTTTTTGTAAAAATATTGAAACAAAGGTTTGTTTATACAGATGGACTTAATTTCCACCATTCTGATCCAGTGATCTATTCTTGTAGCTCTTCTCATCCTTTTCGTTAACCATACATGTGATATTTCCTCGTATTTGAATGTATCCCACATATTTAAATATTCATTTGGGGCTCACAACATATGAGAAAATTTGGTAAAATAAAAGAGATTCATTTGTTTGAAAATATAATGTTTGGGGCCATATTTCAAAAACTAGACAAACTTCTCATGATGCACCATTACCAAAAAATACCCTGGTTAAGAATACCTTATTTAGAAAGTGGGTCGGGGTCAAATTTATGAAAGAAATTGTATTCAAAAATTGCAGTGCTGCTTAAAGAATACAAAAAAATCGGTGAAAATTCACATAAAATCTAAAATATAGGGGGATAAAATAAAACAAAACGGTATCATTTTTTTTTTTTTCATTTTTTAGAGCGTTGTTGTGTACATATAACCATACAAAATTGATATTGTAAGTAGCTTGAAATGATATTGTGGAATGCTGAGGAGCGAAAGATCAGTAACGTCGCGTGTGTTAACTTGAATCTCCCATCATTTCAGGGACAAATCTCTCTCATTTGTGAGCAGGGCATATCACATGTACCGGTATGTACAAAGTCATTTGTTTCAACAAACCTTCGTTTTTCTTTTTTTTTCTATCGTATTATTTTTATATATGACTTTTTTGTTGGTTTGAAATATCATCCCCATCAGTTGATTTGATATGAATGGTAGATTTAGATTTTCGTGAGTACTAGAACCTGACGTCTGCTTATCAAAGATAGTAGTTTTGTGATGGACAAATACATGCCTGTTCTGTTTGTTTGTATTTTTTTCACCCAACCAAGTTAGCATGAACAGAATGCGAAAGGAAGACATGTATCGAGACAGGAGAACGTTCTCGGAGATTAAATAATTATGTGTTGTTGTCAACCATTTGCTCTGTTGCTATGGTAGCCGTGCTCTGTTGCTATGGTAGCCGTGCTCTGTTGCTATGGTAGCCGTGCTCTGTTGCTATGGTGCTATGGTAGCCGTGCTCTGTTGCTATGGTAGCCATGCTCTGTATTGACGACATGTATGCTGTGTTGTCATGACAACTATTTTTGTTATAAATTGACAGGATTTTGGCAGTTGTCATGACGTTGAAATGACCGCAGTGCTGTTGTCATGACACCCATACTGTATGGTTTGCGTCTATGCATGGTTTAACAGCCCATTGACACAATAATGTCATTTCAGACCATTACACAGTAAAACGATAAGTAGTCAACCATCAAGGGATTCGATTTTGGAATTGAAAGCAGTACACAAGTATATAAGGCAGGAGAGAAAAACTGTAGACCATTTCGCCATGACAACTGTGCTATGTATTTGTATTACTTGCTATAGGTTGTCATGACAACATGCCCTGTTATTTATTCACTGTGTTGGCATGGCAACTGTATCCTGTTTTGATTTGGAGATTTCCTGTCACATCTTGCATAATTTAAAATGGAATCCAGACAATGCTGACACCTATCTCGGTATATGTGGAATTGTATATGTATTATGTGTTACAGGTGTGTCGTCCATTGTGTTGTGTGTATTTTACATGTGTAATAGGTATGTGTGTGGTATGCTTGTTTACCTGTGACTAGGGATCACGACCAGTCAAGATGGATCATTTATTAAGAAAACTGAAGACAAAATGAATTGAAATTGGATTACCCCCAGATTTATAAAGTAAGAATTGAGGAAATTTACTTTAAGCATCACAAACTGTTTTATTGGAGCCAAAACCATTCATGTTCAGTTGTAAGCAAATTGGACCCATTCTCTGGAAAAAATCCAACTTCAATCTTCATACTTTTTCTAATTCCAAACAATGTCTTCAAAAACAATCTGTATTGGCAATGTATTACAACATTAAAAACTGGAAACTTTAGAAGATTCTTTTTTTCCCAAAAAAATATCGCAGTCATTCCAAAATTTCTTTGAAATGAAAATCAAATGCTTCATTTTGATAATACAGGTATACAAGTCTTAGATGATGGTTAGCAAAATAACTTACGTTTTGTAAACAAGTTAAATAAATCACTTTTACAGCCAATGAAAGATGGCTAGGCAGCCATCTTTCATTGGCTCTAAAAGTGATTTATGCTGTCTATGCTGGTCTTTAAAATCAGATTCATTGAGTTATGATGTCACCTTTGTAAAGTCAATTCAAGATTCGGCACAAAAAGTAGTTGATATCAAATTTTCGATTCATTCAATATAACATTGGGTTTTGGAGGTCACATGTGCTCTTATTGGCCAATCCCTGACCTTGTTACAGACACCCAATATCAATTTGGGTTTACATTTCCATGAATCTTTGTACCTATATTTGTTACCGATAACTTTGACATCGTGTACACAACACAAGAGTTGGCTAACTTGTTTCTTTTCAGCAGTTGAACATGTCATGTGAAACTTGTTACTCAAATACACACTGTATACTGTGAAACTTGTTACTCAAATACACACTGTATACCGGGAAACTTGTTACTCAAATACACACTGTAGACTGTGAAACTTGTTACTCAAATACACACTCTATAATGTGAAACTTGTTACTCAAATACACACTCTATAATGTGAAACTTGTTACTCAAATACACACTCTATAATGTGAAACTTGTTACTCAAATACACACTCTATAATGTGAAACTTGTTACTCAAATACACACTGTATACCAGGGAACTTGTTACTCAAATACACACTGTATGCCAGGAAACTTGTTACTCAAATACATACTGTGTACCGGGAAACTTGTTACTCAAATACATACTGTGTACCGGGAAGCTTGTTACTCAAATACATACTGTATACCGGGAAACTTGTCACTCAAATACACACTGTATACCAGGAACCTTGTTACTCAAATACACACTGTATACTGGGAAACTTGTTACTCAAATACATACTGTATACCGGGAAACTTGTCACTCAAATACACACTGTATACCAGGAACCTTGTTACTCAAATACACACTGTATACAGGGAAACTTGTTACTCAAATACATACTGTATACCGGGAAACTTGCGCCCAGTCAAATATTCGCCCTTCATTTTCATGATAAATTCACCCTTTATTGCGGAGGGCTAAAAAAGGCATAAATTTAACTGCAGCGAACATTTCCCAGTATACATTACAGGATATCACATCTTGCCAGTGTACAGAACACCAATTTCAAAAACCCTGAAAATTGGTGTCAAAATTGGTGTTTGATCAAAATGAATTGTGTTTTCGCAAAAAGTATGTAATTGTAAAATTCACTATGTCTAGGTGCAGTATATGAAACAGGATATGTAGTTTCATGTATTCTGTAACTTGTAATGGTGTGTGATATGTAATTTCTACCTCCACACAGGTGGAGATAGCCGATTGCATGCAGACGTTGTTCCGTGGAAACAGCCTCGCTAGTAAGATCATGGCGTACTGTTTTCGATTCTATGGTCAGAACTATCTCCGGGAACTCCTCAACCCTCTTATCATGGAGATGTTCCAACTAGAGCGCCAACAGAAGGTCTCGTACGAAATTGACTCAGCAAGGTAGAATACTTATACATTTGTATCATATTAAAACAGTTTTCTGAAATCTTTGATAATCTGTAAATACCCACTTACTGAATATATATAAAAACCTATACCTTGATATTATGTAATATATATAATTATAACTCCAGTATAATGAATGTTGTTAATATATATGCAGTTTTGAACTGAAAGTGCTGGAAAAAAGTTTCCTTCCATACTTTGTACATCAGATTTTCTCCTGAAAGAAATAATCCATAGCTATGTAATTTGCGCTCTCTTAATTTCAACTTTAACTTCAGTAAAAAAAAAAACTTTTTGCATTACTGTAAAGCTTTTTCCACATTTTTAGGTTGGAGAGTGGAGAAAGCATAGAAGATAACAAGAAGTACTTAATGAACATAACCCAGAAAGTGTTCAACGTGGTGGTCGGGTCCGCCCAGCAGTAAGTGTTCAGTCTTCATTCCTCTGTGTCGTAGATAAACCTTCTCTGACCTGCAGCTGTATGGCTGGTTCGTATGTCCTAGACTTAAATTAGCAGAATTGTAAGGTGGGGTCTAACCTATTGGAATCTTAATTCAAGTCTCCAATATCATCTTTCATTCCTGTTGCATCATATTTGAAGCGAAATATACGGGGAAGGATCTCTTCGTTGGCATCTGCATCTGGACAGAGTTTCCATACAATGACTCTTAAAGATGTGCTAATATTTTCATGAAACTTTCCACCGATTCAAATGCCTTTAGTATCAATTACCGATTCAGTTTTGATTTTCAACCGAATTTGAAAATCAACATGGCTGCCAGTGGCCATCTTGGATTTTGGGTAATGTCACATTTTCATTTTGTTGTGGTAACCCTAAAGGAATGTTTTGCATTTCATGAATATCTTATACATTCTTATAATATCAATTACCCACTGCCCAGTAGTATTAATTGTAAAAATATTGAGGTCTGTTACTGTCTGTTTTTGAACAAATTATCTGTTTACATTTGTTGGTCACCTTGTGCTAGATCAATGTAGACAATTCTGCAAGACATTTTATTGTGTAAATAAAAAGAGGTGCTTGCCATTATAAATGAACCTAAGTTTACTTTATGAAATATGAAGTGCAAAATTGTTGCATATTGTAATGTGTTGGTAGTGCAAAACATTTTGGTATACCGATACCTATACCATGAGAAAATTGGTTTTGTTTATGTATATGTATACCTGTTCTGATGCTCAGTGACGCTGTGTGTGGTTCGTATGTATACTTGTATTGATGCCCGGCAACATGGGGCATATTTGTATATAGCAGGTTCCCGTCGAAGCTGCGCGTGATGTGCCACTGTGTCTACCAGGTGATCAGCCTCCGATTCCCTCACCACAGTATCCTAGCAACCGGCACTGTTATTTTTCTCCGATTTTTCAATCCAGCGTTAGGTAAAGAAGGTTGGAGAGAACAGCCCTGCATCGTCCGTTTGGCCCCAGCCTGTTGCCATGGGGACCAGACTTATACACAGGCCTACTTCTATTATACGCTGCTTTTGTACTTCAGGGAGTCGAGAGTGAGGGGCAATGCTCAGAATCATACAAATTGTTTGTGATAAAGTGGTCGAGACAATTAACAAATATTGATGAAAAATATTTTTAGGTCACACCTACATCTAAGTTTGAGCCTATTGCTACCTTCTATCTGAAGGAAGTTAACTTGCCAATACTGTCCACGTATTGGCTGAAATTGGCATTTTGAAATGACCTGAACCAAATCAACGTCAAATTTAAAAATATTCTTTTATGCGAATGAATTCAGTACAAAGCCAGTCCTGTTTTTCATTTCATGCAAACCACTAAAAATGAAAATATAATTGAAGAATTGAAGGGGAAAAAATGTAGAAAGAAATCCAGTAAAGAGACATCAGGATGTGAAGTTTGTTGAGTTCTGAGCAATCCCTGTTGTAGAGAAACATGGCGACAGTGTTAAGTATCCCTGCCCCACTGCACTAGTTTTTTTCCCTTAAATTTACAGTTACCTCCCTTAGCTTCCGTTTGGATATAACTGTAGCACAGTTGGACCAGGACACTTCTAGATCTGTTGACCGGGAAGCTCAGTCTGTTAGAGCGAAAGCATGACAATCTGAAGTCCTGGCCGGGTTTGAATCCCGGTCTGGTCCCGCTGAATGTACACCCAGACCACTGCTGTTGTTTATCTTTATGAATATTTAACACTGCAGTAAGGTATGGTTTTCTTTTCAGGGATGATTTATCAAGGTTATACTCCTGTCAGCAAAATCTTTTTCCAATGCATATATACATACAGATTTTGGCAGCGGTACGAGGATCCTTAATACACGTTTAACTATAATAAACAATGGAACTGATTACAGGACAAACAGGTTACCCTGCCATGCCATCTCCCCATTGTTATCACTGTCGCCATGTTTTTCAATCAAAATATTGATTCTTCCTTTTTTATCACGATCAAAGATACCTTGCTGCTTCAAACCTGGTTTATGATTGTTTTAAAAATGTTGATAACTGTTTATTCTTCTTAGCACAAAGTCCAACATATGATATACTGTATAGCGCTTTAAATTTGTGGGGTCAATATTTCGCAGTGTCGTATTCTGTACATATTCGCGGGAGTTAAATTTCTCTGTGCAATCGAATCCGTTGTGTCATGCAAAATATTTTGAGTGTCATCATTTAAGGGTAAAACCTCAAAATACAGGTAAACCCTCAAAATACAGGTAAACCTTTTGAAAAACACTAATCCCGAGCATCGTCATCTGCCAGTGACTTCACTCGAAAGAAAATCAAATGTGTATGTACCTTTGTAGGAGTAAACTGTAATCAATAAATCACCTACTGTGTACACACAAATATGTTGTGGCCACTTATATGTACCGGTAAGTGTTGTTTTTACATGGACTGCCCAGTTGTCCGGTGGTCTTCTTATTTGAGTTTATTTAAGCTTGCATAACAGCGTTGGGTTAAAAGTATTTCAACGTGTTGTGATAAGGTCCGTAAAAGTGGTTAACATTTTTTATAACTTCGGCGGTGTTTAGAATTCTCGGATATTAGTCAGAGTGCGAATATAGCGTAATTAAAAACCCCGCGAAATATAACTGCTATACAGTAACCAATCACTCTTGTGGACCCCAAAATATTCAGATTTAAAAGTAAACTGTCAAATATTAGTAGATTGTTGAAATAAGAAAACACGAAGCTGTGGCTAGGTATCTGAGACTCGTATCTACAGCCTATCACTCTTATGGCCGACACTCTCATAGTCGAATATTGATAACCATCAACTTACATTCCCAAAATCTGAGACACACATGTCTATAAATATATTTATGAAATATTGCCTTAAGTTATGTTTACTACAGAAGTTAGCAAATAAATGTTTATTAAGAACTGTCTTAAGGCAGAAAGTCCCATGCTGTGTATTGTATCTCCAAAAGAGAAGAGTTCCAAATTTTTCTCTGTTTTTTTGGCATTTGCTAATTTGCAGTTGCTTACTCATAAAGAAATGAGCTAACCAACTGTGCTACCAGTACCAATACCTTTTTGCAGCATTGCTCGGAATAATTTCAAATGTTTTATTTCCTATATAGGCCTACAACCTATAAATGTCTGTATGAATATAGAGGAAATCACGTAAAATTTAGCAGGAATATAAAGTTTTGAGGCCTGTATAAAGTAGAAAATTGTTGGGACTGACTACTTTAACACACTTCTGTACCATTCTTGGTTGATACATAGAAAGGTTTTTGGATATCTTGTTGATGGTTATTAACATAAACTGTTAGCTTTAACTTAGTCAATCTAGAATTGACGTGAATGCATGCTGGTCAGGTCAGACCAGGGCTTCACCTTTAACCTTTGGCACAAAGCAGCAGCTGTCTTATGACCTTCGACTTGTATGATTTACCCTTTGACCTCTCTTGTCGATTAGTATCTAGACTCAATTATCTTGTGTTGCTATGGTTCTTACATGAATTTTCAGTTGTACTTTTTGACTTTTTTTAACCCTAGCAGGACTGCCCGTATTTAGTGTTTACTTCTGATCTGAGCTACAACAAACATGTTGCTAATAACACCAATTTAAGTCTCGTCCAGTGTAATGGTTGATTATACTGGTTTAAATCTTTGCCAGTGTAACTAGGACATTTTCCTGTCAGTGTAAAACTTGACCTGTTGAATCTTTTGATATCATTCTTGCTACTATTTACCAAGATACTGATGGGACACAGGGAAATTCTTATTCTGCTATTGTAAACTTTGACCTGTATAGCTGTCAAGGGAACATAACCTTTGACCTGTGTGACAGAATCTTCCTCTTGGTGTAACCTTTGACCTTTGTAACATAGAATCTACCTTATGTAACCTTTGACCTTTGTAACTTCGCAACTATCTCGTGTAACCTTTGACCTTATGAAACTGAATTTATCTAATGTAACCTTTTACATGTATGATTGAATCTACCTGGTTTAACCTTTGACCCTATAACTTAGAATCTATCCAATGTAACCTTTGACCTGTGAGACTGAATTTACCTAGTGTAACCTTTGACCTGTGTAACTACCTATATCCTAACCTTTGACCTTTGTTTCTTTGAATCTATCCAATATGACCATCAATCTGTAAAGCTGTGTCTTCCTCTCATGTCCTAGATAACCCTCACTAGGTAGATCTTCCATCGTTTGAACTTTGACCTATCTAATATGAATCTCCCACTGCATGATAGCCTACTGTAACCTATCGACTGTAACCTTTGACCTTGTGAACTTTGTTTCTTCCCCTTTAACCTTTGACTGATGGATACTATAACCTTTGACCCCACTGGATCTGTTCACCTATACACCTTTTGGCTTCACTCCCCAGTATAACCTTTGACCTTTGTAACCGTTGGATCTCTCCTCCCGTCAGGTTTCCGACCAAGCTGCGGAGTATGTGCCACTGTCTGCATCAAGTTGTAACACAGCGTTTCCAGCAAAACAGTGCCGACGCTGTGTGGACAGTCATCGGAACTGTCATCTTCTTGCGCTTCATCAACCCTGCCATAGGTAACTCACCTCTGTATGACCTTGACAGTCACTAGTGGATGCGTGGTTTGTTTACAAAAGCTAACGGCTATACTGTATACTGGTGCTGTACAGATGTATTTACAGACATTCTCATGCGTATTGGCAAGAAATCATTATACTGTAGTGTAGCTGTATAGATATGTTAAATTATCGAAAAACTGTAAAAGTGGAAATTTTTGAGTGTGGACATGCTCACATGTTTTCGAATTAAGTAAGTTAGCGTGAAAATATCCTCACCCATATACTGTTCACCGGGAAATTTTCGCTGCAGTTAAAAACTTTTGCCTTTTTTGCCTTACGCAATGAGGGCGAAGTTATCATGACAGCGAATAGTAGTACAGAGTTTACTCTTTATAGTAATTTCATGTGAAGGGTGAAAAAATTACACTGTGGGGGTATGGAGTTTACCGGTGACAGGCAAATATTTGATTTCCGAGTACACAGTATTTTCATGGTTATATAGCTTATAAATATATAAAATTTATAGACTTCAGAACCGTGACCAATGTAAACATTTCCAAACCGCAATCAGTTCAAAGAGTCGTAACGCAAACATTTCCGCGCACGAAAAATTTCCACTTTTACAATAACACAGGACGGACATCTCCACACAGACTTTAATATATTCACATGTAGGGACCAGGTTTGTGATCAAAACAGTGTATTAGTAGTCAACATTTTTTCCTGTTACGCTGGATGAAAACAATGTCTTACTTATAGAACAGAAAAGCCTATAGCTATAAAAGCACAGGAATCTTGAACTGATATACATAGATTCAGATAATTTGTGAGGATAATAGCCATGAAGTAAATTCAAACATGTCGGCACAGATTAAACTCATTCACCCCTGAAATTTTATAATGAACTATTCCAACTTTTGAATGGGAAGAGTTCAAATGTGTCTTCAGGGGTAAATGAATTAAAACAAGAAAATAAACTTACTACTGACACTTTCATTAAATTTAAATTCTAGCACATAGTTGGGACTTTTTAAAATTTACCTGGATATGTACAGATGCTAGCTTTCCCACCTCGATTTTTCCTGGAAATATAAGTTCAGCTCAACTTCTTTATGACACTGAGAATTATGGCTCATCGGTTGCTAGGGTCACACTTTTGACATTTATTCTTGGACATACAAATGCTAGCTTAGCTTTGACAGTTTGAGTTTTGATTGAGTTGCATACTTTTCCCTTCACAACGCTGTGTTGTTTCTTAAATAAAAAAGTCTTTGATTTGACACGTTATTATTCCACAAAATTAGTTTTCACATAGAATCTTGAAAATGCTTACAATCTTGTTTACTCAAACACTTGTAAGTAAGGACACTTCACACACAGTTAAAAGGTCACATTTCTTCTGCTGGAGCTTCCTGTCAGCTGTCATACACTTATTGACATGGAGATTGCATTGTGGGTCATGTTTCAGTTGTCACCAGGTTTTGTGTCTTTGTACGAAAACTCACCTGCTTCCATGTTCAATGTTAATATATGTCGATTGTGTATCGCTAATAAAGCCATGCTACTAGTAGATATATCTATATCATCGCAGAGAAGAACATATCGTAGATTTAAATTTATCATTTTATGGATTAAAAACAAATCGTAGATATATATCATAACTGACAACAGACTATAGATTTATTGATATCTCCCTGGTTTGTCAACAAATCGTAGGTTTATATAGATATTTATTACGATGATGAAAAACAAACGTGGGATTATATATATCATAATAGACATCAAAAGGTAGATAGATATATACATGTTATTTGACAATAAACAACAGATGGTATATATATATAAACCTACAGTCCAAGTACGATTCTAGTCTGTTGTCCATACTGGTATATATATATATATATACCGTCTGTTGTTCATTATCGTAAAACATGTACCAGGTATATACGTATCTTCATTACAAATATTGACAACAGACTAGAATTTATATACATTGTATTTCATGCATAGACAATAGGCTATACATTATTATACAGTATGTACTGTATTTAACTGTAAAATAATTTTATCGTACAGATATTCACAGTAACTCAGTGTATTAATTGTTAGCATGCTGTAGGCATTATTTATCTGTGAAAATCTCTCTACTGGCAAACTTATAAAAGTAATACTCATACATTTTTCTAATACATTGTGTTAATTGATTTTTTACTGCCAGTTGATCACGACTAAATAGAAGTGAATTTTGACATTTAGTTTACTTTAGACTCAACAGCTTGAACAAAAACCTTAGAAAGAGTTATTTCACAACAAATTATTTTATAAATACAATCAAGATTAATTTTTGTCTTAAACTTTATAGTCGAAGAATAATATATTTTTTTTATTAAAAAAAAAGAAATAAAAAAAAATATTGCAGAAGTAAATGAAATGAAACGGCCATTACCCCTCTGTACCATTAACTCTGTCACGCTCTAGCATATTGGCAACTAGTAGATGTCTAGCATGTTACCGTGGCAACACTATGTAGAGAATGATATCTCTGTATGGCAGTATCTGTACAAAACACTTCAGCATGGTGCATGCAAACTCAGAATATATCTATATTACAACAGCATTATTGATCGGCTGTTTCTGTTTTTGCTCAGTTATTGGTCCGAGGCCTGCTATACTGGCCCGAGGCCAACTTTTGGATATGTATATTACCCGGGGCCAACTTTTCTGTATTGCGAGAAAATCAAGCTAATCATTGATAAAAACTTTCATTGACCAGTTAAATATTTTCTAACGTAAACATCAGTGTTAGTGTAATTTCATAGAGAAAATTCAGCTCAAATTTGGAAACATTTGCAGAAATATCAGTGTCTGAAGGTTGTTTATTTCTGGGTCACAGTTTAAGTCAAGATTGTACTTGGAATGTACATGTTTTTGCAGCTACATAGTTTATAGTCTGAAATGTTAATTAGCTATAGGTAACGGTGTACTCTATAGCAACTATCAAGTGTAAACCTTAGAAAAATTTATATGTATGTTTAAAATAATGTATGGTATTGTTCACAAAATATCACATAGATGAATAAATAATGGGTATTTAAGCACAAGTCAGGATTTAAAAAAATAAAAAATATTAGGTTTTATACAAAACTTAATTAAGTGTTAAACATTTTGTACCAGAAATTTGTCATTGAATCAATAGCAACAGTAGAAGATTATAAATCACTAAAATTTGTTTTAATGGTAAATTAAAATGTAAAAACATTGATGTTACGTTATAGGAGAACATCTTCAAATAGCTCAGTGAATTTTTGTAGTCCTCCGATTGATTTAAAATATATTTAAACAAAAAATCTGGATAATTTCGCAAGAAAATTTCTTCAATCTAAGATCATTCTTTCATGTATGAATGTATACATGTACTGTCTTCTCTGTGTAAGAATGCATGTCTCATACCAAGCCACTGTTACAGTTTCCCCGTATGAATCGGGGATAATTGATGAGGAGCCGACGCCCAAGATTAAACGTGGTCTTACACTTATGTGTAAGATCATGCAAAACATTGCCAACCACCTCCTATTCACCAAAGAGAACCACATGCGGACCTTCAACGACTTCCTGAAGACCAACTTTGAGGCGGGCAGAAGGTTGGTGGATGTTTTCCCCGATTTTATTGAAACATTTTATTGATTAATGGTAATATTGATAGATATTTTGAGTAATAACAATTATTAACACTTTCACCACTGTAAACCAAAATGGACTCATCCAGATCAATGTATGGTAGAGTCTACTAAAGTGACATAGGGGTGAAGGGGTAAATGAATTATTCTTTGAATTAATCTTCATGGTTTCATCTTCCCATTACAATCTGTATATCGTTTCTGCATAAATTATTACGAAGATAAATAAATTATTACGAAGATAAAATTCTAAACATAGATTAAAATGTACACACTTAATTTACCAAGGTTTTTCACCGAGATAGCGTCGGACTGTGACATTCCCGACCAAGGGAACCACAGCCTCTCTTTCATTAATGATGCCAATGTTCTGGCCCTCCACCGTCTGCTCTGGAACAACCAGGAAAAGATCGGAGACTACCTCTCTAGCAGCAGGTCAGTCTCACACGCACCCAGATTTTTATGAAAAAGGAAATTAAATTTTTATTGTAATATTTTAAAATTGAAAAAAAACGAGTCCAGTCCCTTGCTTTGCGAAGTTTCTTCTGAAATTCAAACTTTTCCTTAGTTAAACATTGCTTTTCAAATGAAGATCTGGAAGTTCAGGAAAAAAGACCTGAAAAATGTATAAACTGATTTGTAGAAGTTCATTTCGAATTTCAATATTTATCATTTCACAAAATGGGCATTATTTGTTTGACCAGTACTGGAAAAAGGAAAGTGAAATCAGTTCATTTTATCATATTTATTGAAAGTTTTCACAAGTTAGAATGAAATGTTTGTTTGTTACAGAGACCACAAGGCAGTGGGCAGACGGCCATTTGACAAGATGGCCACCTTGTTAGCGTATCTGGGACCCCCAGAGCATAGACCACTCGACTCTCAGTAAGTGTTGTTGTCATGTTCTATGGAATTTTGCGGGTTAGCGACATATTTTCGCCCAGTCAAACTTTCGCCTTTCGCCCATAAATCAATTTACGCCGCCTGTTTTTTTCGCCCTTCTCAGTAAATGATTATGTTTATTATGGTTTTCGTCTATATTCACCCTCATTACGTATACAGAGGGGTAGGGGAGTGAAAAATGTCCTGGTATACAGTATTTTATCAGACTTGTATGATGTATTGTAGCCTTGTTGATGAAATACGTCTCAAAGTGATTGTTACAGTTACAAACTTTAAATCTGAATAAAATTTAACGGTTGTAAACATTTTCTTGGTAATTTACGTTTTGTATCAATTATGAGTAGCTATTACATTCATAAATTCAATCTTTTTGAGAATGTATTGAAAATCACTATCTATGCTTTGATAAAATTAATTAATCATGTATCTACAAGGTTCAGAATATCTAGAGTACTTAAAACACACACCACGCTGACCAATTTTCCTATTCAATGTTGACGTGTGATTCCGGCAATTGATCTGATAGAGTTATCTCCCATTGTTGTCCTTTCTCTTTTCGCAGTGTTGGAATATTTGCCACCAGATGGAGCAGTATGGACATGACAAGTACGAAATTCGAAGAAATCATGTCAAAACACAACATGCACGAAAAAGATGAATTCAAGTCGCTTAAAAATCTACACATATTTTACCAGGCCGGGACAAGTAAAGCTGGCAACCCAGTATTTTATTATATAGCTAGAAGATATAAGTAAGTTTATGTCTTGGTTCTTCGTGTTGAAATATATAACTTGATAATTATGTAAGTAATACTCCTGTTCCATACTTGCCAAATGTTTTGAAATTTCCATGGGAGAGATTGCACGTTCTTGCAATTAAAAGCATAAATAAAATGTGTGTATATACACCTTAGAGAAAAATAACACTTTTAAATGGTATCTTTTGAGCTGTTTAAGAGGAAATCATCAGATCTTTGAAAATAGGATTATTTAAGCAAATTCGGTGGTTGAAAATACTAAATTTTAGGATCATAAATTGGGAGTCTTCCTCCTAAATAGAGAGAGTTGGCAAGTATACAGTTCCCATGGATCACCGTACCTCTGCCAAAGCTGTAACTAAGTATTGGAGACTGTTTTTTTCCAACATAACTATAGCTTTGTTAAATCATCCCCGAAATGAAAACCATACCTTGCTGGCTTTTTAGGAGGCCAACAAGAAGAAATAAACAAAATGTAATGAAGAAATTAACAAAATTATAATAACAAAAGACGAGATGAATAAGATATAATATAATAAACAAAAAATAAACAAAAAATATAATGATAAACAAAAAATATACAAAAAATATAATAATAAACAAAAAATAAACAAAATATCGTATTTGCTTTGTAGAGTGGGAGAGATTAACGGAGACCTACTTATATATCATGTATTACTGACGTTAAAACCATTCTACAACAAGCCGTTTGAGCTGGTCATAGACTTCACACACACCTGTGCGGAGAACCGTTTTAGAGTAAGTACTGTAAGTACTTATTCTTTTGATTTATTTGTGTAAACATGTGGTATATATGTGTTACTATTGCTTGTGGATATTTAGGCTATTTGTAAATATGTGGTATATATGTTACTATTGCTTGTGGATATTTAGGCTATTTGTAAACATGTGGTATATGTGTTACTATTGCTTGTGGATATCAAGGCTATTTGTAAACATGTGGTATATGTGTTACTATTGCTTGTGGATATCAAGGCTATTTGTAAACATGTGGTATATGTGTTACTATTGCTTGTGGATATCAAGGCTATTTGTAAACATGTGGTATATGTGTTACTATTGCTTGTGGATATCAAGGCTATTTGTAAACATGTGGTATATGTGTTACTATTGCTTGTGGATATCAAGGCTATTTGTAAACATGTGGTATATGTGTTACTATTGCTTGTGGATATCAAGGCTATTTGTAAACATGTGGTATATGTGTTACTATTGCTTGTGGATATCAAGGCTATTTGTAAACATGTGGTATATGTGTTACTATTGCTTGTGGATATCAAGGCTATTTGTAAACATGTGGTATATGTGTTACTATTGCTTGTGGATATCAAGGCTATTTGTAAACATGTGGTATATGTGTTACTATTGCTTGTGGATATCAAGGCTATTTGTAAACATGTGGTATATGTGTTACTATTGCTTGTGGATATCAAGGCTATTTGTAAACATGTGGTATATGTGTTACTATTGCTTGTGGATATCAAGGCTATTTGTAAACATGTGGTATATGTGTTACTATTGCTTGTGGATATCAAGGCTATTTGTAAACATGTGGTATATGTGTTACTATTGCTTGTGGATATCAAGGCTATTTGTAAACATGTGGTATATGTGTTACTATTGCTTGTGGATATCAAGGCTATTTGTAAACATGTGGTATATGTGTTACTATTGCTTGTGGATATCAAGGCTATTTGTAAACATGTGGTATATGTGTTACTATTGCTTGTGGATATCAAGGCTATTTGTAAACATGTGGTATATGTGTTACTATTGCTTGTGGATATCAAGGCTATTTGTAAACATGTGGTATATGTGTTACTATTGCTTGTGGATATCAAGGCTATTTGTAAACATGTGGTATATGTGTTACTATTGCTTGTGGATATCAAGGCTATTTGTAAACATGTGGTATATGTGTTACTATTGCTTGTGGATATCAAGGCTATTTGTAAACATGTGGTATATGTGTTACTATTGCTTGTGGATATCAAGGCTATTTGTAAACATGTGGTATATGTGTTACTATTGCTTGTGGATATCAAGGCTATTTGTAAACATGTGGTATATGTGTTACTATTGCTTGTGGATATCAAGGCTATTTGTAAACATGTGGTATATGTGTTACTATTGCTTGTGGATATCAAGGCTATTTGTAAACATGTGGTATATGTGTTACTATTGCTTGTGGATATCAAGGCTATTTGTAAACATGTGGTATATGTGTTACTATTGCTTGTGGATATCAAGGCTATTTGTAAACATGTGGTATATGTGTTACTATTGCTTGTGGATATCAAGGCTATTTGTAAACATGTGGTATACTAATTTATTTGTGTAAAAATGTGGCATGCATTATATTTTGTGTATGTGAAGATAGATTTTATATGTAAATATGTCATAAACTGTAAGTGCTGTTGTATATTTGTGTAAAAATGTGTTATGCATGTCAATTTTATGAATGTAAAGATGTGCTTTATTTCTAATATGTGTTATTTGTATATATATCAGACATATATAATGAAGTGTTGTATCTGAAAATTTGTTTTATTTGTAAGTATGTAGTAAATCTGTGTTTGTAAATAATGCACAAGTATTTATCTGCCTTGTTTAAAAATAACAGGGTAAATGTGTAAATATTTTATAATGTATATGTGTAATAATTGTTGTTATTTAGAAATAGGTGATAGATCTAGTTGTGTCAATGTATTCGTGTGTAAAGATTGTTTAATATATTGATTAATGTATATGCATAATTGGTTAATGTATATGTGTAATTGGTTAATGTATATGTGTAATTGTTTAATGTATATGTGTTATTGGTTAATGTATATGTGTTATTGTTTAATGTATATGTGTTATTGCTTAATGTATATGTGTTATTGGTTAATGTATATGTGTTATTGCTTAATGTATATGTGTAATTGGTTAATGTATATGTGTTATTGGTTAATGTATATGTGTTATTGGTAAATGTATATGTGTAATTGGTAAATGTAATTGTTTAAAGTTTATGCGTAATTGTTTAATATATCGATTAATGTATTTTAACATGTAAACATGCAAACAGTGCATAAATACATCGAATGCGCATCATCATTCATGAGTTAAACTCTCAATGTTTCAAAAAAAAATCTGAGGGCCCTCAAATTTTGAAACCTCAAAGTTTGACAGTATATATTTGAAAGGTAATGGTATGGTACAGTGAAATGTGTAGAAAAGTGTCACATAATATTCATTTGTGTAATTTTGTGTTCCGTCATCAGCTTCATATCCTTGGCAAAAGGACTAAGGGTGTTTCTGGCCTCATCAGGGATGAAAGACTACGCATGCAACAAACAAATAAATATTTGACATGCTTAAACATTGTCATACCAGTATTCATTCGTAGAAAGGAAATATTGTTTTGTCACATGCCGAAAAACATTTTCATTTCTGCATGTTAACTGTCCAAATACACCATATTTCTGCATAGCAACGCAGTTTCGTTGCTATACATCTACGCATGCTCATAGGAAAAAATCTACACCAAAAAAGATAGCTCCAATTAACCAATATGATGTTTATAACCGAAATCAGCAAATTTATTTGAGTTGAAATTTTCACGTTTTATGAGGCCAAAAATGACCCATAAGTCCTTTCACATACTTGTATTTGCTTTTGTTTATTGTTGTGATTCAGTGATAATTCATACTTAATATAGTGTAGATTAATTGATCCAGTATATTTAAAGAAAATTGACTTTCACTATCTGATCATATTCATGATTGCTGATGTTTGAAATCAGAAATGCAGCCAAAGATGAAAAAGAAGACAATTAAAAAATTGGAATATTTTAGTGATGATTTTTTTTAAATATTCATAGTTATTTTTAAGGAATGGCGATAATTATTGTATTTAAATAGTTATAGGCTCTGTGAGATTATCCTGAAAAATATGTGGTATGTTTGCTCTTCCAGACCGATTTCCTGTCCAAGTGGTTTGTGGTGATGCCGGAGGTCGTGTACCAGAACATTGTCGCCTGCTATATATATAACTGTAACTCGTGGGTGAGGGAGTATACCAAGTACCACGACAGAATACTCACTCCTCTCAAGGTCAGTACACAACCATCAAGGTCATTATACGTAGGTCAAAGTCATAACAAGTAGGTCAAGGTCATTACACAGGTCAAGGTCATTACACATAGGTCATAGTTATTGCACTTGGTCCAGTTATTACAAATACACTTAGGTCATTTCATAAATACATCAAGGTCATTTATTATAAATCAAGGTCATTACTCTTATATTAAGGTCAATACACATGTGACTTGCCTGATATAAGTAAAATTCTTAGACAGAAAAAGAAGGCCAAAATAGTTTCAATGTATTTAGACAGATTCATATTGCATATTTGGCCAGTGATACTAATTTTTCGTACTACCTGAGTTCAGTATCACTAAATCTTACATGTGTTATACTGGTACACTGTGTTATAACTGAATCCAATTTCTTTTCAGGGAATAAATACATCAAGGTCATTTATTATAAATCAAGGTCATTACTCTTATATTAAGGTCAATACACATGTGACTTGCCTGATATAAGTAAAATTCTTAGACAGAAAAAGAAGGCCAAAATAGTTTCAATGTATTTAGACAGATTCATATTGCATATTTGGCCAGTGATACTAATTTTTCGTACTACCTGAGTTCAGTATCACTAAATCTTACATGTGTTATACTGGTACACTGTGTTATAACTGAATCCAATTTCTTTTCAGGGAATAAATACATCAAGGTCATTTATTATAAATCAAGGTCATTACTCTTATATTAAGGTCAATACACATGTGACTTGCCTGATATAAGTAAAATTCTTAGACAGAAAAAGAAGGCCAAAATAGTTTCAATGTATTTAGACAGATTCATATTGCATATTTGGCCAGTGATACTAATTTTTCGTACTACCTGAGTTCAGTATCACTAAATCTTACATGTGTTATACTGGTACACTGTGTTATAACTGAATCCAATTTCTTTTCAGGGAAATAGAAAGTTGTTTTTTATTGACCATCCTGCACGGTTGAATGAGTACATTGACCCTGATCAGCAGAAGTTACCTGGCTCAACAGTGTCGCTGGAGGAGGATCTCAAAATATCAAATAATGCCCTCAAACTCTCCCACAAGGACACCAAGGTCACAATCAAGGTCAGTACAAGGTCATAAAGTCAGTAAAGGGTATATAATCAAAGTCATATTCTTGATCGGTACAAGGTAACAGCCAAGGTCAGAACAAATTAACAACCAAGGTCACTACAAGGTTATAATTAAGGTCATTACAAGGCCATAATCAATATTGGTACAAGGACACAATCAAGGTTAGTACAAGGTCACAATCAAGGTTTGAACAAAGTCACAACCCAGGTCACTACAAGGTCACAATTCAGGTCATTACAAGGCCATAATCAATATTGGTACAAGGTCACAATCAAGGTTAGTACAAGGTCATTACAAGGTCAGTATGAAGTCACAATCAAGGTCAGTAAAAAGCTTTCAAGACAAAGTCTTCATTATCACACTTACTACAAACAATCTGGTGCAACTGTTTGGAAGCATCCCACGATGATGAGGATACAATATTGTACAGATGAAGGAGCTGAGCCCTTTTGAGGGGGGGGGGGGGGTAATTTGGTCATATATCTCTAAGCAGCTTCTTCTCTGGTACCTGGTAAGTGTTTTGTCTACAGTACAATAAGTTGTATGCTGATTTCAGTGTCAAAAACAATAGCTTCTTTGTAGATTACTTTAAAATTTATATTCCACTTTGTTCATATTCTCTGTGACATTTGCTGTTTTTTGTTTCAGGTGGGTCCAAATGCCATCCAGATAACTTCAGCGGAGAAACTACGAGTGCTCGGACACCAGGTCTTGCTCAACGACGTCTACTACGCTTCAGAAATAGAGGAGGTAGTGCTCATCTTCCTCTTGTATATTTTCAATGAAAACAAAAATTAACTTGAGGGAGAAAATTTGTAATGTTTTTTCTTTAAAACTTTAAAACCTAATATGCAAAAATATATCCTGTATCGTAATTCTCTAAAATTATGATCAGAAGAAATTAGTCTGATAAACATTCACTCAAATTTTCATTTACATATATCAACTCAATTCTGAGTCGAGTATAATCTCTCTAATCATACTATTTCTGAAAGGGGGCCAAAGTGGCTAAGTGGTTAAGGTGTCTGAGCCTCTATGACCAGTAGCCCTCCTCCACTAGGTCGAGGGTTAGAGGCCTACGTGGGGCAGTCGCCAGGTACTGACCACAGGTCGGTGGTTTTTCTTCGGGTATGCCGGGTTTCCTCCATCACAAAAACCTGGCATGTCTTAAACTCTTTCCGTACCGTTGTCGTGTACACACGACAACAATATGTCATCCTGGTCCCCGTTGTCGTGTACAGACAACAAAATAAAGGGCCGTCTCATCCCCGTTGTCATGTACACACGACAAGAGACTATGATGTAACCTGCCTGATGTTTAGTTGGTTATCGCACGAGACTGTCGCGAAAAAACAATTAATTGTCGCTAAAATCAGAACCCATCAGTTTGGAAGAAATAATTTTAGTTGCGCAGAGTACACCTTTTTTATTATGTGACTTAAAGTTTTCGCCTTTGCCGCAAGATGTTTGCATTTGGTGCCTCAAATGTAAACAAGTTGGCGGCAACTTAATTAATTACAAACACTTGTAAATTCATCATCAGATATTTGTTGGGACTTATGGAATTAAATTTGAATATTCTAATATAAGTCTTGATGAAATCTACTTGTATTTAGAAAAAAACTCAACGTCTCCACATTTGTAACCATAATCAAACCCATTGGAAACCTGCACTACAACGCTGTGTTAAATACAAGGAATCGTATCGTTTATTGCCAGACAAATGTCGATTTCTCAGTCATAATCAGCTGCCAGTTAGTCATTATGCTGCGAAAATGAAGAAGTGTTTGTCTATGAACCAGAACATGACACAATAACAATATTTGTTCACGGTTACCTGTTAAATTCTTGCGGCAGTTACACCTAGTCTAAAAAGTACATTAAAAATCCGCCATTTTGTTATATGCGCGGGGGTGAGTCTAATAAGTACATCCGGTACGGAATCCGGACCGGAGTTGCGGTACGGAAAGAGTTAAATGACCAGAGCCGTTAATAGGACATAAAACTCAAACAAACCAAACCTAACCATTTTTTCAAACTGCAATTACGATAAGTTCATTAACATGTTTGGTAAGATATGCTATTTTTTTCTGGTTGTAGGTTTGCCTCGTGGATGATAACCAGTTCACCCTGACAATATCCAATGAGAGTGGACCTCTGTCTTTTATCCACAACGACTGTGATAACATTGTACATGACATCATACATATCAGGACGAGATGGGAGCTGTCACAGCCGGTACGTAGTCGAGTAGTTGTGTCATACCTAGTATGTAGTCTAGTGGTATACAACAAAGACCCTAATCCCTCACAAATACTTTCTACAGGCATGGAACAACCGCTTGATATTGGTTAAAAATAATCAGTTTTGTTTTTTTATCGAAATATTTCATTAAAAAAGTTTAACGACAGATGAAAATAAAAGTGTTTTTTTGAGCATCTAGGTCATGTAGCTATTATTGTGACAAAAATCGTTGAACGAGATTCGAAAATAAAAGTGTTGTGTTCGGGTGTCTAGTAGAGATACCTATTATTGTGACGTAATGTTTGTACGGTTTTGCATGTCAGAGAAAGCCGATCTTGTGATGTTTACTTGTGTTTGTGTTGTTTGACAGGATACTGTGACGGTCCATACCAAGATTCGGCCCAAGGATGTGCCTGGTACCTTGCTCAATGTGGTAAGTATTGGGGGAAGAATGATTACATAATATTCATAAATATATACTGTATACCAGGGAATTTTTGCTGCAGTTTGATTTTAGCCCTTTTTTGCCCTTCGTAATGAGGGCGAATTATCATAACAATGAACATTTTTAAACAAATTAATATGCATTGTAATTAACTGTGAAGAGCGAATTTACTATTAGGCGAAAATGTATCTTGCAATCGAAAGGCGAAAATTTGACTGGGAGAAAATGTTCTGGTATACAGTAGTTAAAAAGGTATTTAGAAATTCTAAATGGAACTTATAGTTTTACTGTTTACCAGGATATCTGTCAAGATTTACCTCTGTTTCAAGTAGACAAACTTGACATTTTGGACATATGTCAAAGTACACATTTTCTCAGCAAGGTGCTATTTAACATTATTGCCATGTAGACAGGTTATTCTAACGCAGTGAAAAGTTTGTATTATAGTGTTAGTTTGTAGATAAATTCTTGTGTGTTTGTATTGATGGTCTATTATGAGCATATCTAAGGAATATGGATAGTGCTGAGATGATCAATGCAAAATCAGCAAATATTTTCACCATTTTTTACAAAAAATATCAATTCTAATATTAAGCCCACTGTAAGTTTACAATATGTATTATAGGCCCTGCTCAACTTGGGCAGCTCCGATCCCAGTCTGCGGTCTGCTGCTTACAACTTGCTGTGTGCCCTCACTCAGACCTTTGACCTGAAGATAGAAGGTCAGCTGCTGGAAACAACAGGTAAGTAACTATGTTTTTTGTCTGCTACATAAGAAAAATATACAAATTGTCTCACAGACCTTGATCCCTAAATATTTTCAAGTAATGTGTTGGTGGTTCCCATAAAGGAACTGAGATATATGCTCAAAATATACCAGAAAGCAAAACAGATTTTCCCCTTGGACTACTTCCCAAATAAAACCACAAAAGTTCTGCATAATTGGTGTATCTTGTCCAGTCGTTCGTGCATCTGCCCACACTCGGACCTTCAGCACATGAAACTGATATATATATATGTATTAAATATTTGTTAAATTTCTACAGCTTTAGGGCCATTTTGCCTCTGGACTACATTCCAATTTGCTTGCCCCACTCCACCTCACCCTTCTCCCAAGGCAAGGCAAAGTTCCTATTTAAGTAACAATGAAGATCTCACAATCAAATTTTAATGTGGCAAAAGTTCATATCTTTTCTAAGTAGTTTTCAAAATAACACTATGGCACATAAATCATGCCTGCTTGTGTACTGTTTCCAAAAGTTACGCTGGAAAATCACATTACAATAAGGATGTTTGATTTGTGGTCAGGTTTGTGTATCCCCGCCAACAACACCATCTTCATCAAGTCCATCAGTGAGACGTTGGCCGCTAATGAGCCTCATCTAACACTAGAGTTCCTGGAGGAGTGTATCCAGGGCTTCGGAAACTCCAACATAGAGATGAAACATTTGTGTCTAGAGTACATCACTCCATGGTTACCGAACCTCACCAGGTAAGGGAAGGCAACTCCAAATATACTGAGGTATTTTCGCTCTGATAAACATTCGCCTTCCACCATTGAAATAAATGTAATATGATCAGTGTATAACTGCCACTTTACATGTTATCAACATATATGGTGAACTGTGATGACGAAAAATTAACCCCATTGCAAGAGTTGAAAAAGGCGAAAGTACAATATTTAATTCATGTCATTAAGATGCATATTGAAGACTGCTGATTGGTTAGATGGTTCTTGATTTTTTCCTTCTATATGATCTGAAGTTAGATCTCTTCAATGTGTCACATGACCCTATTCAGATTTGATGGCATTTATTTGTGTTAGCTGGTTTATAGCTTCGAGCAAATATGTTGTGTAGTTGATATTTTCTTGATGTGGAAATCTGTTTTATTTCCTAGGTTCTGTAAGCATTCAGATGAAAACAAAAGGCAGAAAGTGGCTCTGATTCTGGACAAACTCATCACCATGACGATAGAGGAAGTTGAGGTAAGGCATTGTGGAAACCTATAACAAAATCCCAAACAAATGTGATATATTTTTCGTAATTAAGGATCCCTATACCACTGCCAAAAACTGTAAATACCATTGAAAGTGTTGGAAACTGCTTTTTCTGTTATAGCTTTGATAAATCTTCTCTGAAAAGAAAACCATACCTTGTGGGACTTCTGTGTGAGAAATATTAGAGATGAAATATATACAAAATATAATCAACAACAGTGTTTAGAGTGTAAAAATTCAATGTGGCTGGAACGGAATTTGAACTCTGGTCCTCAAATTGTTATACTATCGCTCTAATCAGTTGAACTACCTTGTCAACGGATGTGTTCTGCCCTAACTTTTTTTATAGTTATATCCGAACAGAAGTTAAGGGGAGGTTACTGAAAGTAGGAAAAACAACGGTACAGTGAGACAGGGATCCTTAAAGCAAGATTCCCCAAATTGATGAATGCATTCTAAACTTTCTTGTTTCCAGATGATATGAAGAGATATTATCTTGTTAAAAAATCATTTATTCACTAAGCCAAAACATCCTTACTCTTATTTCATATAATTGTCATCTGAAAGCATTTTATTGCATAAATTAATTGAATTTAACATAATGCCTTATATGGGCTATGATGCTAATGAGAAGAGTTCTCTCCCCTGTAGATGTATCCCTCAATACAAGCCAAGATATGGGGCAACATCGGTCAAGTGGCTGACCTACTGGACATGGTCTTAGACAGCTTCATCAAGGTAAATGACCAAAAGCTTACTATCAAATGTGATAAGACGCCATGAACCATATATTTTCTGTTTTGTACTTCGTACATAAATGTTAGCACACATACTTGCCAACTCTCTCTATTTTGAGGGAGCCTCCCCATTTTGGACCCAGTGAATTTGCTTAAATATTCCTATTTTTTATGATCTGATGATTTCATCTGAAAGAACAGCTCAAAAAATGCCATTTAAAAGTGTCATTTTTCCCTAAGGTGTACATACACACATTTTATTTATGTTTTTAATTCTGAGCACGCACATCTCCTCCTACGGGGGGAAAAAAAGGCTGTTTTTCTGTGCTATAACTATTAACAGTTGTTTTATGACTGTCTCAGGAAGTAGAGACAATGGGAACAGTTTACTGTATCACCAAAATACAGGAGGGGGGGGGGGACCAAGGAAACAGAAAATCTGAGAAAATATTATGTACAGGTTTTAAGCACCTGAAACAGCACCCTTTGATGGTAAAAACAATTCACCGAACACTTAAAACTCATTCATTATCATTTATATAGAGAATTGTGATCAGTTTATAATGCGAGACTTTTACTTACAGCGGAGTGTGACTGGAGGACTGGGCTCTATACAGGCAGAAATAATGGCAGACACTGCTGTGGCCTTGACCTCTGCTAATGTACAGCTTGTGTCACGGAAGGTCATAGGTCGTTTGTGTAGAGTAAGTATCACTGAGCCTGACATCACTATCCCTCCACCAGTAGGTCGCAGGTAAGAGGCCTATGTTGGGCAGTCACCAGGTACTGGCCGTAGGTCAGTAGTTTTTCTCCGGGTACTCTGTTTTCCTCCAGCACCAAAACCTGGCACATCCTTATATGACCATAGCTATTAATAGGACGTTAAACACAAACAAACCAAACAAGCCTGAAATATATGTGTTATTGTATAAACTTTAGTGTCATTCCTACCTCCTATTCTAGAGAGTTATACTATTGGCTGTGTTCCTCAACATCCGTCTATTTCTCGAACATCCAATTCATATGATTCCTTCATATTTTCAACAGTTTTATCTGCAGGTAGCGTACTTCTGTTTCAGATCCTTCAGATGTGCTTTTATCTTCAACTAATAAGCTTTTAAACATATATTGTAGTTGATAGACAAGACGTGCACCTCCCCAACACCAACACTAGAACAGCATTTGATGTGGGACGACATAGCCATCCTGGCCAGATATCTTCTCATGTTGTCCTTCAACAATTCACTGGATGGTGAGTATTTACTCATGTTGTCCTTCAACAACTCACTGGATGTTGAGTATTTACTCATGTTGTCCATCGACAATTCACTGGATGGTGAGTATTTTCTCATGTTGTCCTTCAACAATTCACTGGTTGGTGAGTATTTTCTCATGTTGTCCTTCAACAATTCACTGGTTGGTGAGTATTTTCTCATGTTGTCCTTCAACAACTCACTGGATGGTTAGTATTTACTCATGTTGTCCTTCAACAACTCACTTGATGGTGAGGATTTACTCATGTTGTCCTTCAACAACTCACTGGATGGTGAGTATTTGCTCATGTTGTCCATCAACAATTCACTGGATGGTGAGTATTTACTCATGTTGTCCATCATAGTGAGTATCGACGCATGCTGTTCAACAATTCACAGTGCAGGGTGGACAATGTACTCGCCTGTCACCAAGGCGGCCGGGGTTTGATTCCCTGACCGAACGTGAAATGGTATGAGGTCACCTACCCGACCACATGGTTATCTCCTGGTGCTCTGGTTTCCTCTCACAATAAGACCCCTACACACTATATATCTGGGCCAACAAGAGTACTTAATATGAGTTGAAATAGTGCTCATGTTGACTTCCAACAACATATTGGATTGTTAGGTCAATCCAGCTGGAAAATTTAAAATATCAATGACCAAAAATAATAAACTCTTTTGTTTTCCGTGTATGACAGTCACATTGTGAACCTTTCAAAAAATGTTAATGGGAATATCTGCCTATTGGGCAAAATGCCCTATTTCAAGTTGTTCTATGCAATTACTATACTTATCATTCGTGGCATACCTTGTTTTATCACTTGGCTATTGTGAGGTTGTTATACCATGTTAAACACTCACTAAAGAATGAAAGAACAGAAAAAAAGGAGAAATTATATAGGTTCAGTAAATGAAATGCTTTCTGTTTCAGTTGCGAGTCACCTTCCATTTCTGTTCCACATTGTTACGTTACTGGTATGTACCGGACCGCTGTCGCTGCGAGCATCAACGCACGGACTCGTCATCAACATCATCCATTCCTTGTGCACATGCTCTCAGCTCAGTTTCAGCGGTGAGTACCCAGAGGGCAAGCGAGACAAGAAGAAAGGTTAGGTTTACGTGTTATGTCCAGGGCCTGGATCCATACTTCCCAATGTAAAATACAGAATGCATATAAACATTCCAATTTACAATTCATATATATATTCTTGTGACTGCTGTATTTATCTACAGTTTGAATTTCGGGTTATTTGTAGATTTGAAAACAAAGTTAAAAGTATGGATTCATCCTACCCTGGAATTGGTAGAAATTTAGTACATGGTAGTGATTGAGTACATGGTAGTGATTTAGTACATGGTAGTGATTTAGTACATGGTAGTGATTTAGTACATGGTAGTGATTTAGTACATGGTAGTGATTTAGTACATGGTAGTGATTTAGTACATGGTAGTGATTTAGTACATGGTAGTGATTTAGTACATGGTAGTGATTTAGTACATGGTAGTGATTTAGTACATGGTAGTGATTTAGTACATGGTAGTGATTTAGTACATGGTAGTGATTTAGTACATGGTAGTGATTTAGTACATGGTAGTGATTTAGTACATGGTAGTGATTTAGTACATGGTAGTGATTTAGTACATGGTAGTGATTTAGTACATAGTAGTGATTTCGTACATAGTAGTGATTTAGTACATGGTAGAGATTGAGTACATGGTAGTGATTTAGTACATGGTAGAAATATTTTAACAAAAAACAAAGTTGTGATATTGTAATTCATTTACATTAATGTGTTTGTAAATGTGCATTTCAAAAGTAGATAAAAAGAAAACTGGTATAATTGCTATACTATTCTGGATGAGGTCCTTTCAGGATCCCTTACTGTGACTTTTTAGAAGTCTATTGACATCTACCTAACACATAGTTACTTCAGCATCCTAACACATCCGTGTTGTCTGTTAACAGCCGAGTCCACACTGAAGGTCCTGAAGCTGAGTCTGGCCGAGTTCTCCCTACCTAAGTTTTACCAGCTGTTTGGGATCAGCAAGGTGAAGTCTGCAGCCGTCAGTGCATTTCGCACAAGCTACAGACCAGGCGATCGCTCATTCACAATGGCTGCTCCAGAACACGAGAAAATGTCTCTCAGCTCCTTGGAGACGATAGTCGATGCCTTACTAGAAATTATGGAGGTTTGTATCATTAAATTTCCTCAAACTTTTCAATCCAAGAGACTCAAAAATATCACTATACTGTTAAAAAAATATTTTTGAATAATCTCCTTGAATATTTGTATGAGTGTTTGTGTGAGCCAGCTGTGTATGAGTGTTTGTGTGAGCCAGCTGTGTATGAGTGTTTGTGTTAGCCAGCTGTGTATGAGTGTTTGTGTTAGCCAGCTGTGTATGAGTGTTTGTGTTAGCCAGCTGTGTATGAGTGTTTGTGTTAGCCAGCTGTGTATGAGTGTTTGTGTTAGCCAGCTGTGTATGAGTGTTTGTGTTAGCCAACTGTGTATGAGTGTTTGTGTGAGCCATCTGTGTATGAGTGTTTGTGTGAGCCATCTGTGTATGAGTGTTTGTGTGAGCCATCTGTGTATGAGTGTTTGTGTGAGCCAACTGTGTATGTAAGAGACTATGAACTATCACATTCTCTGTCTGACCATTTATGCATATATTAAAAGATGTAATAGAAGAGGAAATTGAGTTCTAAAACTACAAGACGAAACTGCAAAAAGATGAGATTTGAGTATTTTCAAAGTGTTGGTTAATGACTGAAGACCGACTGTACCATGACCACTATGTTTACTGTAACCATGACAACTGTGTTGTCTGTTATTATTATCATCAACTGTTATAATGATGAAAATACGGTTTCTATGACCACCATATTTACTGTTGCCATAACAACTGCATTTACTGTTACCATGACAACTAATATTACCACAATGAATTGACTGTTCCCATGACCACCGTGTTTACTGTTGTCATGACTACTGAATTACAGGCATGTATGAAGGACATTCCTAACTGTGATTGGCTACAACAGTGGACAGACCTGTCCAGAAGGTACGTGTGTTGGTCGATTTTTAAACTCCAGGCGCTACAGCCTAATTCATGTATATATATGTTCCACCATTAATTTCCATGGGCTGGTATTTCCCTTGATTACATTTTATTTCTGGTATTTTGTTTATTAAATGGAGACATTTATCCTATAGAGCGATTTGGAAATTATAATTGGCGTTGTTTCTCATTGTTTGTTTCCCTTCGCAAGACTTTTAATGAAATAATTGCGACATAGTGTGTATGTTGAGGGCAACATTTTTGAAGCCCAAATCACAGGTTGAAATTCGCATGAAAGTGAAACGATAAAATAAGATTAATTTTGAATAGCAATTCAACTTCATTTTTAAACACCTATACAACTTTGTCCTTATGTGCAGTTTGGTTTTCAGCTTTTGATTTTTTTGATATTTTTTTTACAGATTTGCATTCCAGTATAATCCCGCCCTCCAGCCCAGGGCTATCATTGTGTTTGGTTGTATCAGTAAGACTGTGACCGACTCCGAGATCAAACAGCTCCTCAAGATTATGATGAAGGTATGGACTAGAATTAAAAGTTTACTTCTCCAGTTAACTTGTGACTGTAGAATAACAACTTTTCAAACCTTTAATAAATAACTTGATTTAATACTGACTGTGCAACGAGTCATGTGAAACAAATCTGAACTGCTGTATACCGGATGATTTTTCGCCTTTTTTGGCCTCTGCAATGAGAGCAAATATATCATTACAGCGAACATTAGTAAGCGATGAAATAGACAGGGTAATCAAATGTGAAGGGGGAAATTAACATTGGGCGAAAATTGATATTATCGGCATAGGGCGAAAATTTAACTAGGCGATAGTTTCCCGGTATACAGTATTAAGAAGTCTTCCATTGGGTTGAAACTCCTTTATAGTGCCAAATCTTCTGTGGTAAAATGTTGGCAATATAACAAGGTTTTACCGTATTGGTAATGTAGATGAAATCATTAAATGTATGCTGTCCTGATTACAGGCTCTGGAGTCGTTTAACGACTTGACGTTGATCGAGGCCATTGTGATGTGTCTGACCAGACTTCAGCCTCTACTTAGATCTGTAAGTACTGCTGTATGCCATCTACATCTAATATGAACAGGTGATCTCTCGAGGCATGTTTACCAATAGTTAAATACGTCCCTTTCCCAAAAAAATATTTACGAGTCAAATGCTAGTCAACCTCAACTCAATGAATTGTGGTTCACAGAACTACTTTTGGTTACATTTGATCATTTTGGAATGAGATTTTAGATAAACATTTTATAAACAAATCTCAAACCGATTTTCTGTTTCACCTTTTATGCAACCTGAAAGGTTGAAGGGTTATAGTTTTGTTGATGATTTGTTTAACAAAATACACTTGTTGTTGCTCAATATGCTGTCATAAAGCCTATTCATTTAACTATTTGACGGCAATGTTATATTTTCCTTTCCAGGATTCCTCTATCCACAAGTTCCTGTTTTGGACGGCCATCTCTGTCCTCCAGTTAGACGAGGTTTCTCTGTATGCTGCTGGACTGGCCCTGCTGGAACAGAACCTCCACACGCTCGACATCATGGGCTTGTTTGACCGAGAGGTAAGGCAGGGTCAAGGTCAACAGTGACTGAAGGTCAAATTAACCTCAACATTTGGTCTGTGGACAATTTTGGGTTAGGGATAGCAGTTAAGATATTTTTAATAACCATCATGTTGTCAGTATAATGTGACCGGCTGGAATACAGTGCTGGGTGCCTTCGGCATCAGATCCACGCTATCACAAGGAGGCTAACACACCAACATACTCTGCCTCCAGCACACATACACACATGGAGGCACGTCCTTGAATGACCATAGCTGTTAATAGGATGTTAAACAAAAGAAAACAAAACAAAACCAAAATCTAAATACACAGGACAGCTGTTGTATAGACATCTCTTGATAATCCATTAAAAATTACTGGATCTGTCGATGCATGAAAGGCTAGGAATACATTTTTTATCGGTTTAATAACTGATGAATACATATTTTGCAATAATAGCAATGCATCTTTTTTAAATTCCAAATGAACAAGTAGTTCTGATCTTTTAATGATTATTTAAATTCCTACCCACACAACTTTTATTTACCATTGTAATATTATACAAAATATCTTTTGTTGCCGTTTATATACATAGGAGGTGGGGGTGTTCTCAACATTAACAATCTTCTCCTATCTCCAAATTCACCAGATAAGTAGGTGAAATAATTTATTACTCGCACCCACCCACTTTGTTCAATCATACACGTGTATCTGTATGTATTGTGTGTGACATTTAATTTCTGATGGTTGCTGATCCACTTATAAAACCTGTGAATACATTTTGTGTGACAGACATTGGAGGTGATTATGATGGAGACGAGAGAACCACTCGAGTGGGACTTCAAACAGTTGGACCATGCCATGGGGCTCAGCTTCAAGGATAACTTTAACTTCGCCCTAGTTGGACACCTATTGAAAGGTATGTGAAGTGACGACCACATCAGAGTTTCGTAGAGTTTGCAATCTTTATCTGATAATACATATTTTGTACCTGCTTCTGCCTTACACTACGAAATAAGCTGTTTGTAGTTGGTGTCTACACCATCACGTTACATACTGTGAAATCATATTATTTGTGGACCCCAATTTCATGGGTTACCGACAAAACACCATCTCGTGGGTACATTAATTTTTGGATAATGAGTACCCTCTAAAAAGGAGAATTGCTTTATGTTTTATGTAAAATTTCTAATTACTTCGTGCACCTATGAATTCAAGGATGAAGATTACCCGAGAAATCAATGAAATTTAAAAACCCACAAAAAATTGTGATTTCACAGGTTTTACCTTCCAAGTTTTTTGCATAGGTCAGCCAGCAATGACCTCTGTGACCTGCACAGAGTGATATTTTTTGGAAAGTCCTGTATTTGCACTGCTTATCCCAACATTGCAAATGTTTTTGAAGCTTTAACCCTTTCACCACTGTAGACCATAATGGACTCATCCATATCCATGCATGGTAGAGTCTACTAAAGTTACATAGGGGTGAAAGGGTTAAATGTTAAAATACTCTCAAGAAAATCATACTAGTATATAAAAGGCATATTTTAGTAGTGCAATGTACAGTATACCATATTTATCCACCAGTAAGCCCAGGGGACCAACACCTAATCTCCGACTCAAAATAGGGAGTGGCTTAGTTAACCCTTTCACCACTGTAGACCATAATGGACTCGTCCAGATCAATGCATGGTTGAGTCCACTAAAGTTACATAGGGGTGAAAAGGGTTAAGGACAAGGGAATAGCCTTGTTGCCATATTTAAAGAACAACAATATATATATGGGTGGGCTTATTACCAAGCATGGGCGTATTGCTGGATAAATATGGTACCGGTCATTTACAATGTACTGTGATATGACATTGTGTTTTACAAAATAAAGCATATTTACAAATTTCGATCACAAGGGGGTTAGAAGATATCAGTATTCCTGGTTTTAATTAAAATGACTTTTGTTGGTCGTGTTGACAGGATTCCGCCATCCGACACCCACCACTGTTTCCAGGACGATACGGGTCCTCAACCAGCTTCTCTCAATCACCGTCAAGTCTACAAACAGGTAAGGCTGTTACGATGATTCATATATCTATTATCAGTAGCTTACTTTGGCTGGCCATCAGGTTTTATTCAAATGAAAGGGTGGGAGATATTTTTGGCAGTTTCACTTTCGCCTTCCGTAACGAGGCAAATTTATCACGACACTGAAAATAAGTACACAACTTACTTAACCCTTTCAACACTGTAGACCATAATTGACTCATCCAGATCAATTTATGGTAGAGGTTATCAAAGTTACATAGGGGTGAAAGGGTTAACAGTGTATAAAACAGTGTTGATAGAGATGATTTATTCAAGTTGTTGTTTTGGTCTCGAAAAAGTCAGTATGGTTTTATAGATACAGGATTTTATTCTAACAAAATTAGGGTTTTACAGTACTTTGACAGTCAGCTCTGAAATAAGGAAAAAAAACAACAATTTATGACATTTAGATGTTGATTTTTACTTAAAAACAGTATTTTATCCCCTGGTTTTGCCAGTGTTCATCTAATTCATATTCAAACTGTTTAACTGTGCTTGAATTTACAACATTAGACAGAAGATTGGTCCATAAATAAACAGTTCTCTGTGTCAAAAACAATTCAAATATTAAATTTGAATGCGATTTGTAAATTTTAAAGTTGTGTCGACATGAAGATGAACCTTCCCTGATTTTAAAGATGTCCGATATCTCACAGTCATATTGCTACATGATACACCATATACTTGATTTATAAAAAAGTTTTGTAAGTTTAGAACAGTATTCATTTATCTTAATCCTTTCTGCATTTCAGGGACAAATTTGAGGTGACCCCTCAGACAGTTCCTTATCTGGCAGGTAAATATGCCCACATATTTAAATGATAAATTCAATATTCATCTTTCTTTAGTTTTGACAAATAGCTTTAAAGGCATGAAATAGTAGTTATTAAGTGTAAAAGTAAATTATGATGAGTCTGTAAGTATCAATTAAGGAACTAGATAATAATGATTCAAAATATGTCCAATGACTTATTGTTAGATTCTTGTAAGTTTTTTTTATAGAGTAGTTAATTAAATAATAGTTAATAAAAGTCTATGAGATTATTGTTATCACAGCTATCACCAGAAAGTGTGAATTCTATTACATTAGTGACAGTTATCCTCTGAACTTGTTTACAGCTCTGGTGTTTGTGTCGGAGGAAGTGAGAAGTAGGTGTCACCTGAAACACCGTACTAGCCAGTACATGATGACAGAGTCGCCCTCTAGTGACAGCCTCAGTGCCGAGCTCGCCCAACAGACGACACCAGGGAGCAGCAGCAGTTCTGGAAGCTCCGCCATGGGAGCCCCGCCCCCGGCTCTCCCCCCGACCACACCCTCCACCCAGGTGGTGCCGGCCCCACCCTGCCACCCACCCACCACCGTATGTAACACCCCACCAGTCAACACCCCCATCACTCGCAGGCAGAAAAGCTGCGACCTCCTCGACCAGAACGCCATGAACAACGCATGTCGTACCTCCAAAGTCACACACCTACAACAAGCACAGGTAAGATTTATAGATAACATAGGTAATATGTAATAGAACAACACACTAGGAAATATGGTACACTTGTCAAGTCCTATGACTGGTCACAAGTCCTTCCATCTCTGTGGGCCTATCACCGTTAAATATTGAACATGTAGCGTTTAAACTACTTGTGCACTATATGTTTTGATACACATTTTACCAATTATAACCTGTAATGTTGCTTTTGATGTGTTAAGTCTTTGAGTTTCTTACTGATGCTTTCAGCCCAAAATGACCTTCGTGTGTCGAGGGGCCGTTAACCCTTTCACCCCTATGTAACTTTAGTAGACTTTTCCATGAATTGATATGGATGAGTCCATTATGGTCTACAGTGGTGAAAGGCTTTAGCAAACAAACAAACTAACTCTTTCATGAACTGTGCCTGTAACGTTTATTCTGGAGTGCATGAATTTACTATAAACAGCACGCTAACTCAGTATCTATGGTAATTATCTTTAGAATTACTTTTCACAGAATATTTATATGATATTGGGAGGATCTGGGGCCCGTATTCATGAAACTATTCTCATGCTTAAGCACGGATTTTGTGCTCAAATCAACTTATTTTGTAATTGACTTGAATCATGTACAACAATCAAAACATCGAATCTAAACATTGGAAACAGTATCCGGCTTTAAGTCTCTTAATTTTTTTCTTCTTAAATTATTGACAAAATAATATTTTATTACTTATTTATTAACAAAACAAAAGATTAGGCTTGAGCATGAAAACTGGTAAGTGAATACAGGCCCAGGAGATTTCCTGTGACCTGTTATATGACCCCTATATGTCCTTGCAGCAGGCGAACAGTCCGAAGGGCTGGCGGAGTCTGGACATTGAACCACAGCGACCACCTCTCTACAAAACAAGGAGCAGCTCTATGCCAATTCCAGGCTCAAAGAAGGAAGCAGGCAAATCAGGCATGACTCAACCTCGGAGTGGGCGTGGCTCCGTCTCCAACGAAAATAATGTGCTGCTCGACTCCGAGGTTTTGACCGACTACCCAACACAAGTTTTAGTTCTAACTGTGCTGGTAAGTTACTTGGCTTATGATGCACAATGTTTATTCTATAAACCAGGAAATGTTCACTGCAGTTTAATTGAGTTTTTGCCGTGTATTTTTCTGCAATGGTTCCTTAATGCCCTCTGTAATGATTAATGATGATATAAATACAAGAACCTTGTAATGCTTTCCGTTGACCCTTAGTGAAGCTAAAGTTCTCTAAAGTAAAAAAGACAAAACACATTCATTATGGTAGCATCCGTACAGTAAAACCTTGTTATGCTGCCACCATTTATCCACAGCATTATTTTCGGTTATAAAGGGGTTTGTCAATAGATTGAGGGAAATATATAAAGGGATTCTTCAGAAAGACAGGAAAAGAACCTTGAATTATGTTGGCGGTAAGTGAGGTGATAAATGAAACAAAGGGGCATTATATCAAGGTTTTACTGTACATCATCGTCGGATACCCACGGTTGATTTCGCTTTGGTACTCACTCATAAGCGAAATCAACCGTGGGTATCCGACAATGACTGTACATGAGAACAGAATCAGATATCAAAGCGAACGAAACCATTGTCACTGATACGTTACATTGACAGTGAGGTAACTATATAATTTCAGGCCACCCTTGTCAGAAACACCACAGACGAGAACGAGGCAAGAATTATCTACGAGTATTTAGCCGAGGCCTCCGTGGTTTTCCCCAAGGTGTTCCCCGTCATGTAAGTTATGGTAACCTGGCATGTACTTAGCGTACATCATTTACATTTCCAGCAAGCAACTACAGTACAGCTAGATGTTTTTGTGTGTCGATAATGTGATTGCAAAAAGATATGATCGGCAGAGTAATATGACAAGTGTAAAAATGAGCCACGATAATACACTTCATATCCGTAGTGTCATCATGAAGAACGAAGAAGTATGTGGTTGTAATGATTCATTTACATCAAGAGTAATAAAAAGATGGTTGAAAATAGATTTTATCACATCTGTAATAGCTTGTTGATCATTTGTTTAACAACACACACTTACTTGTTGCTGCTCAATATGCTGTAATAACGCAGATTCATTTTATTTGCCAAAGGTCCCGTCTCTGTGCTAAAACACAGCAAAAGTTTTGTTCGTTCACATGTCTAAATGTTATTTGGCTATATTGCTTTAAGCGACTTCTTCTCTGGAACTTAGAGATATATATCAACCATATTTGATTGGGAGCATCCCTAGGTGGTGGGGATTCAAAATTGTACAAATGGTTGGGCTGACCCCTCAGGGGGCTGAGGTCGGAGCCAAAAGGGGACAAACGTGTTTGTATATGTATATCCCAAGCTAAAAAAGGTAAAAAACAGATTGACATGAAACCTGAAATGGGACGATATTTTTGTTTACAGCCACAGTCTATTGGATGCCAAGATCAACAATGTGCTGTTACTGTGTCATGACCAGGCAATCCTCAACGCTGTTCAGAGTATTATACAGAATATGATAGCCGCCGAGGACGCCTCGCAACAGCAACTGTCATACCTACAAAGTAAGCCCCCACTCAACTGTCATACCTACAAAGTAAGCCCCCCCCCCCTTACTGTCATACCTACAAAGTAAGCCCCCCCTCAACTGTCATACCTACAAAGTAAGCCCTCCCTATACTGTCATACCTACAAAGTAATCCCCCCCCCAACTGTCATACCTACAAAGTAAGCCCCCTCCCCTACTGTCATTCCTACAAAGTAAGCCCCCTCCCCTACTGTCTTGCCTACAAAGTAAGCCCCCTCCCCTACTGTCTTGCCTACAAAGTAAGCCCCCTCCCCCCCTGTCCTACCTACAAAGTAAGCCCCCTCCCCTACTGTCATTCCTACAAAGTAAGCCCCCTCCCCTACTGTCTTGCCTACAAAGTAAGCCCCCTCCCCTACTGTCATTCCTACAAAGTAAGCCCCCTCCCCTACTGTCTTGCCTACAAAGTAAGCCCCCCCCCCTACTGTCATACCTACAAAGTAAGCCCCCTCCCCTACTGTCTTGCCTACAAAGTAAGCCCCCTCCCCTTCTGTCTTACCTACAAAGTAAGCCCCCTCCCCTACTGTCATACCTACAAAGTAAGCCCCCCTCAACTGTCATACTTACAAAGCAAGCCCCCTTCACCCCCTCATATGTCTTACCTATGAAGTAAGCAACCCCCCCCCCTCAACTGTCTTACCTACAAATTAACTGTCATTCTAATAAATCCAGCAAAAGTATGAGATTTATACACTTTCTAGCTTCCCAAGTTATGAGGTGTAGGCTAGCTTCAAATTAAATATGAAATTAATATGAAATTAAAACTAGCTCCATATTAAGATGTAGGCTTGCTCATCCTTGATGATATGTAAGATACAGAAGATGCAGTCAAGCTACATATTATGTAGGAGACATTCTATGTACATCTTTGCATTCACAGGTATTGGATTTGGAGGCCTCTGGAGATTTGCTGGTACGTTTGCAAAGGTAAGTCTTCTGGTAAAACTTAATAATAATAATAACATGCTATGAAAGTTCATTTAAGGATTGATATAGAAGACATCTTGCATATAAATTCTAGATTTCAAAAAGAGCTCACTTTGCACATAGATGTACAGACACATCAATGTCGATGGAAATTCCCAGTATAGATGTATTAAAATGTCACTGTCTGCTGTGTTGTGCCATACATAGACGACTGGTTCGCCCGTTGTCAGTATGATGTGACTGGGTGGGGTGTCCTGCTGGGTGTCTTCGGAAGTATGTTTCAGTGAGGTAGCACTATAAAGTCGGCATTAGTGCCGCGCTATCACAAGGAGACAAACACGAACATATCGTAGCCTCCCAAAACACACACACATACACTACAAGCATGCATCTTGCACACAGGGGAAGCCGTCCTTAAATGACAATAGCTGTTGATAGGACGTTAAACAATACTAAACCAAACCAAACATAGATACATGTCATAAATACTTTAAAGGCAGTACTTGTTGTGTGCTAGAGTGCCCTATCCAGGTACTCGACTAGCTCTAATTCGTAACCTGCTGTGTTTTAGTGTGCCCAAAGTAACGACACCGCAGAGCTACTAGTCAACTGTCTAGAGGCCATGATGGTTGAGAACTGTCTCCCTGGTGATGACCTCGACATCCTTAACCCCTACCCCAGCTCCTTAGGGATCTCCTCCAACCTCAACCTGTCCAGTTCCATGTCCAGCCTCAGTGTCAGCAGCATGCATTCCCCCACTGACAAGGACACTGTCGAGAAAAACGGTACCGCGCCCAGCAATCGCATGCGACACGGGTCTGCCAATAACATCCAAACCAAGAACCGAGCAGGAAGCTTTAAACGCAAAGACAGCAAAAAGAAACTGGAACCCATCGAATGAGGAATGTTTCTTGATTAGAGTGTAAATTATTTATCTTGTATTTTGAGTACCAAAGCTACTGTCTCGCGCAAATTTTTGAAGAAGAAAAAAGGTCAAACTTTTAACATGTATACTGATGTGAGCCTTCAGCGACCACAGGAAATACCAGATATTGTGAATTGCCATAAATATTGTAAAATTATCAGTTAATAGAGACTGTTTATTTTACTACATTGTGATGTAGTTGCCATTGGTGGTTACGAAATATGTAACTGTAGGAACAGATAGTTGGACATTTTGTGGCCATGGCAACAGTTGTTTTCATATATGTTGCCATGGTTACAGAGTGTTAGTGTTGGCAACAGATAGTTGAACATTTTGTAGCAATGGCAACAGTTGTTTTCATATATGTTACCATGGTAACAGATGACTGTGTAATCTTAATGAGTCATACATATTGAGGCTAAAAATGTATATTCAAGACTTTGAATAACTTGTGTACATGATAAATTATTTAACCCATTCACCCCTGAAATTTTATAATGAACTATTCCAACCTTTGATTTGGAAGAGTTAAAATGTGTCTTCAGAGGTGAATGAGTTAATTAGAACACACTATATTTGCCTAGCTGTATATCTAGTCAACCATACCAAACGAGAGACGAATGAAAACAGTCTGTGTTTCTTTTTCCTCATTAAGTGCTGTTTACATAGAGAAACACTGTGTTCTGTGTGTGTTGTGACAAACAATCTCTGTTGTCAAGGCCCCTCTTGTATCATACATCTCTAGATGAATCTTGAGTTTTCCTCAACTTTTGAGATTTTCCATTGAATTAAGGTGTAGGGTACCAATGTGTTATAATCACAAAGAAGAGCCCCAATTCAGAACTGTTTTTTTTTTTTATTTATATTTACTCGGAGGATTTTCCCGTACATTTTGAAGATAGACAACTGAACATTTTTTTCTGATTTGAGAGTTACTTCCCCTTTCTATGTATTCATCTTTCATTTTGATTCTGTGATGTACTCTTTGCCTTAATATCATGTGAAATTTTCATCAACATTGAGATGTGTCATGTAAGTGGGGCCAGGATTATGTAGGGTTTATTTTATCATTCAATTTTGAATTAAATATCTCAATAATTGAAAGTTTATTAAAAGTATATTAATATGACAAGTTCAAAAACAACCAAATGTATGTTTTAAAGTTAGTGTTTTATAAAAGTTCTTTAAAAGGACCTTTGAATGATCATACTTTATTTTTTGTTATAAGTGCTTTTAAATCTTTTTTTTTTTTTTTTTAAATTTGTAGTATTTCCGTGAGTTTGCTTTTGGAAAGATCATATTTTGAGTCGAGGAGTTGGATCTTGATTTCAATACTGCACCTGATGTTTAACGAAATACCTCATTTGTTAAATTTTTAAACTTTAGCATTTTTTTAATTTTTTTTTGTTATTGTTCGTTTGACAATATATTGCGGAATAGCGTTGTTTAAGGTTTTTGTTGATCACGGAGCATTGTGTTTACCCGGAAATCAGGTCTGCTCACTCTTGCATTATGAGAAGTGTGAGATGAAAAATGTATTCAAGAATACTCAATACCAAGATGTTCACAAAATGTATTTTTCCAGCTTAAATGGTGCATACTTCTATAGCTGAAATCCCAAACGGTATGAATTGAGATAACATACATTTGAAGTTTTCAATTATCACCCTCATTTGAAATATAAAAAAAATTACCATCTGCAGCGAAAAGTTTATTTCATTCTGAGTAAATATCTCTGCTGTGCTGTGGCTCTTAGTTTGAACTATCAGGTTCTAGCTAGTTAAGATTTCGTGCTGATTTAGGGTGCAATACTTAGGTGATACGAACCATACCAAATTAGCATTCTGGATTCCAATTTTCATAAATAGTTGGAACTTTTCTAAAGCATGTGAGATTATTGAGTCCTGAAAGGTGTGACCCAATCTTTAAAGTTACAAATTTTTTTTTGTACCAGGGAAAAATCTAGGCCGCTTTCGCGTATCCTGTTCAACCAGTTGAAATAGTTGAACCTGACTGAAAACGACAGACGCAGATCTGAACCGAGGCTGACCTCAAGAATGTCGGGCACATTTAGATTGAGGGGTCCAGACCTGCCTGACCGAAACTAAAACGCTGACTATTGCTAGTTTGTGTTATTTCTTTCTAAAACATTGTCAATCCAGATGCAGATTTTAAGATACGTTATATAATTCAGTGGACGCGTAAAAGAAGGACATATTATTACAGTTCGGTCCAATTGCGTTCGTTATTGTGGAATATTTCTGCACCATCTGAACCGTTTCAACCTGGATACGCGAATGGGACCCTAGGTACAGTAGAAATAGTACATATATACATGTACAAAGTATGCGACCCTAGGTACAGTAGAAATAGTACATATATACATGTACAAAGTATGCGACCCTAGGTACAGTAGAAATAGTACATATACACAAAGAATGTTCCTACCATCTTCTTACCACATGTGTTCAATTTGCTTTGTGCAATTTATTTCTTTATACATGCATTTCACTGTATTACAGCAGCATCACTTATGTTTGATGCCAGCTGACATCCGTTGAAAGTTAAAGTATCTAAAATTTAGACTGCCGCTCTAAAGCAGATGAGGACATATCTCTTTTGACCTATTTGTTGGTTATATACGTGCAAGATTTAATTGTTTGTTGGTTTTCACGTAATTTGTTAGTTTATAATATCTCTTCTGAACTTTTTATTAGAGAGTATGTTAAAAAGGAGTACTTTGAGAGGAAGACAGTAAATATGAACTAGACAGCAGTAAATATAGAAAGAAAATGGCCAATGTCTTGAATACATCATTTATAAATGAGGTTTTTTCACTGTCCTTCTGTCAGGATTATTTCTGTATAGAGTCACTTTGGCCACTGGACACCTAGATATAATTGTACAACTGGACAATACATAAAGGGATTACAAGATTATTAACTCAACGACTATCCATCCCACTGCGTAAAAATAAAAAAGCAAGGCCATGTGTTTTTCATCAATAAATTGATATAGCCTGTGATGATTTGACATTTCTGTTTGTAAATCGCACCCATATAATAACTTTTTGTATTAAATCTGTTCAAGTTATCCAGCGATTGAGGAATATGGGAAATATATCAATAATAGTATTCAGTAACAATTCCTTTAAACAAAAAATGTTCACATGTCAATAGCAGATACATATTTTGAAACACACTACCAGGTATTTTAAAACTCCATCAGAATTTAGTAATTTTCATAGAAAAAATATCAACTCGCATTTTCCTGTGGCCCCATTGTGTATTTAGAAAACTCATACTTGCTGCATATATTTTTAAGTACATATTGACTTGTTAACTTAAAAAAGTCATGCCCAATACACCATTGTTTTTCCTGCATCACATGCTTCGTTCTACCATTAGATGTCAGGGGGAGCGTCATTATATATAGCTGCCACAGGATTCTCTAGTCAATAGAAACCAAAGAATGTTTGTAAAACTAGGTTTGATTGGTTGGTGATAGATTTCATTTCATGTCTGAGTGCATTTGATTGGTTTACAAGTCTAAGAAACTTGAACAGAAGGAATAGTCAACAAGATGGTTGAATTTTTTAACTGAGACACCTGCTATTGATTTTAGGCATATGTCTGAAATGACTATTTAGAGTTATGTCCGTCTTTGTGTTAAACTTATTCACGATTATTGAAATGACTAAGCTTGAATGGTAAACATTGGAACTACAGATATACACACCAACAGTTATTTGCTATTATCATTAGTTTCAGTATTGTTTGGTAGTTAATATTGTATTTATCAGTATTTTCATAAAAAACATGATATTGTTTTCCCCTGATGTCCATCTCACAATATATATATCTGCAATGTTTTCCTTCAAACATTGTCACATGATCTGATGTGTACACTAACTGTATCACATGATCCGATGTGCACACTAACTGTATCACATGTTCCGATGTGTACACTAACTGTATAACATGTTCTGAGGTGTACGCTAACTGTATCACATGTTTTGAGGTGTACACTAACTATATCACATGTTCTGATGTGTACACTAACTGTATCACATGATCTGCGGTGTACACTAACTGTATCACATGTTCTGAGGTGTACACTGTATCACATGATCCGATGTGTGCACTAACTGTATCACATGTTCTGAGGTGTACACTAACTGTATCACATGATCTGAGGTGTACGCTAACTGTATCACATGATCTGAGGTTTACACTAACTGTATCACATGTTCTGAGGGGTACACTGTATCACATGATCCGATGTGTGCACTAACTGTATCACATGTTCTGAGGTGTACGCTGTATCACATGATCCGATGTGTGCACTAACTGTATCACATGTTCTGATGTCTACACTAACTGTATCACATGTTCTGAGGTGTACACTAACTGTATCTCATGTTCTGATGTGTACACTAACTGTATCACATGATCTGCGGTGTACACTAACTGTATCACATGTTCCGATGTGTACACTAACTGTATCACATGATCCGATGTGTACACTAACTGTAACACATGATCTGAGGTGTACACTAACTATATCACATGATCTGAGGTGTACACTGCATCACAGGATCTGAGGTGTACACTGTATCACAGGATCTGAGGTGTACACTGTATCACAGGATCTGAGGTGTACACTGTATCACATGATCTGAGGTGGACACTGTATCACATGATCTGAGGTGTACACTGTATCACAGGATCTGAGGTGTACACTGTATCACATGATCTGAGGTGTACACTAACTGTATCACATGTTCTGAGGTGTACACTAACTGTATCACATGATCCGATGTGTACACTAACTGTATCACATGTTCTGATGTGTACACTAACTGTATCACATGTTCTGAGGTGTACACTAACTGTATCACATGATCTGATGTGTACACTAAATGTATCACAGGATCTGAGGTGTACACTGTATCACATGATCTGAGGTGGACACTGTATCACATGATCTGAGGTGTACACTGTATCACATGATCTGAGGTGTACACTAACAAGGTCTAATGATTTAATATCCTAACCGTGTCACACAAACAAGCTCATCTCGTACCATGGAATTTAATGTTATTTCCTTATTGCTTAATTTATATTTTGGTATAACACTACAACTATTTACATGTTTACAATAAGTTAATCATACTACTTTAGCCCATCCTCGAAACTCCAGTGGTAATGCTCACTGACTCCCTCTGCACCCCTGGAATGTGTCGTGACAAAATCTATGGCACACGGCTAGCTATTTGATCGGTTGCAGGTAAACAAATCTGTCCTATCACTGGACTAATACCTGTCCCTTGAAGTTTAAAGAGGAGCGACCTCAAAGCTGGCCAACTTTACCATTACACTGCCAAGTGATTCTTTAGATGTACATTAAAGGATCAAACTTGACTACTTGTATCATCCCACAAGCCAGGTGTTCCATACAGATAGAGTGTGCATTTCCATCATGACCTTTACCAGATGTGCAGAGAATGTAAGAGAGCACAACCCCTGGAACTTTGAGGATGACTTTGGCCCGTTCATAGAAAATTGTTCATTTTCATTTTAACTCTATATTGTCTTGGTTCAGGAAAGTGTTCATTTATAAGAGGGACACTAATATAATTGTCATTGTAGTTAGTACATAAGCTGTACTTGTCCTAGCACCCATTTTAACAGTATTGAAGGCCATGGTCGATATGGTATGTAGCATTGTTTGAGATAACAGATTTGTCGGCTGAAGATCTCAAAGTTTTATAAGTCATTTCTGTGTACTATGTACATACAGTATTTTGTATGTGAATGAAGGCCACTTAAAAACACATTTGTATATAAAACATTTTTGTCTTTTTGTGTAGAAATAATGAAATAAAATCAGAAAATGATTTATATATGTCTACAAGGCGTTTTGCTCCTCACAGAACTCCGCAAGTGAATGTATGGTTTGAAAAGGCTGTTGTGACATAGTTCACAAACACATAAATCTATGACATCATCTAGCTGTGGCAAAAAAAAGTGAATTTATTATGATATTATAATTTATTGTCCATAAGGGGGATATATATTACATAAAGTAATAATCATGAATTGTATAATTGATTTTGCTGCAAACAGGAGACTTGCATACTGTCTCCTGTATTTCTTTAATTACGGATGACATCATCGATTTACGTGTATGTCAGCAATGACATCATCATTGCCTCATAAAAATATACATTCATCGGAATATATTGT